TTCATGGGACAGAGGTATACCGCGTATTAACACTTTATTCCAAAAGGATAGACACACCTTGGCATATGATAAAGGATGGAGGGTACGTACAGACTTTAAGCAATACCAGGTTCTGAAACAAAACCCTTTCTGGTGGACACACCAGAGGCATGATGGGAAGCTGTGGAACTTGAACAATTACCGTACTGATGTTATCCAAGCCCTTGGAGGTGTTGAAGGAATCCTTGAACATACTTTATTCAAAGGAACATAGTAAGTTTTCTGTTCCCTGATAGTATAATGTTGCATTTAGCGGGTGTTTCCTAACTGCTTAACCACCTTATGGGGCTGAGAATATTACTCTGAAGGTTGTCATGTATAAAATTTCAAGAAATGTTGGGACTAGAAATCACAAGTGTTCCGTATTTAGCTCCTATTGCCTGCATGCGATGTGGTAAATAAACCAATGAGTAAGCAAAGATTTCTAACTGTAAGACTCCTAAGCTTAAACAGGTTATTCAAGATGTAGATAACTAATATCCAAACAATCAAAATTAAATGAAGTACCAGTTATATCACCAAAAAAAAAAAAAAAAAAACTAGTTATGAACTATGATTAATGTATAATACTTTTTTTTTTAACTGACTTGCTGCTGCTTTTCACTTTCAGCTTTCCAACCTGGGAAGGTCTGTTTTGGGAAAAGGCATCAGGCTTTGAGGAATCTATGAAGTATAAGAAGTTAACGAATGCTCAGAGATCTGGTCTTAACCAGATACCTAATCGTAGGTTTACTCTTTGGTGGTCACCAACCATAAACCGAGCCAATGTTTATGTGGGGTTTCAAGTGCAGTTAGATCTGACTGGTATTTTCATGCATGGAAAGATACCTACTTTGAAGATATCACTTATTCAGATATTCCGAGCCCACTTGTGGCAGAAGATCCATGAGAGTGTTGTCATGGATCTGTGTCAGGTTTTGGATCAGGAATTGGATGCTTTGGAGATTGAGACTGTCCAGAAGGAAACAATCCATCCAAGGAAAAGTTACAAAATGAACAGCTCTTGTGCGGACGTTCTTCTGTTTGCGGCCCACCGGTGGCCAATGTCAAAACCCAGTCTGGTAGCTGAATCTAAGGATGTTTTTGATCAGAAGGCAAGCAATAAATACTGGATTGATGTGCAGCTTAGATGGGGGGATTATGACTCTCATGATATTGAGCGTTACACACGGGCCAAATTTATGGATTATACAACAGATAATATGTCTATATATCCATCTCCTACAGGTACTTCCAATCTGTCCTATTACTAGCTTGTTTTCTATATTATTGAGTAGACCGTTGGCTTAATTGCTGCTTTCTGTGCAGGGGTGATGATTGGCCTTGATTTGGCATATAACTTGCACTCTGCATTTGGCAACTGGTTCCCTGGTTCAAAGCCGCTGCTTCAGCAGGCCATGAATAAGATTATGAAGGTAGCACAACCATGCCAAAAAGAGTCATGTTGTGTACATTTTAGTTCATAAGTCCCATTGAGGGTAGAACCTAAGTTCCTTACCCAAATTTTGGCCCCTTTAATATACTGGTTTGAAACTGGGTGGCCATGTTATACGTTTGAGCATGTTTATACTTTTTAATTGTGCAACCAGTTGTTTTACTGATTGTATTTTGCATGTCCAGTCAAATCCTGCATTGTATGTCTTGAGAGAGCGTATAAGGAAGGGGCTTCAGTTGTATTCTTCGGAGCCGACGGAACCATACCTGTCATCCCAGAACTATGGAGAGATATTCAGCAATCAGATTATATGGTTTGTTGACGACACTAATGTGTATCGAGTTACAATCCATAAGACCTTTGAAGGAAATCTTACAACAAAACCCATTAATGGTGCCATCTTCATTTTTAATCCAAGGACTGGCCAATTGTTTCTGAAGGTTTTTTCCCTCTCAATTCTTTTCTTCCTATTAGGGTTTTTCCGACAATGATTGTTCAGGTTGTGATGTGTTTTATCCTTTAATGCAGGTTATACATACAAGTGTCTGGGCTGGTCAGAAGCGTCTTGGTCAGCTGGCCAAGTGGAAAACAGCAGAAGAAGTTGCTGCTCTTGTACGTTCTTTGCCTGTTGAAGAACAGCCTAAGCAAATTATTGTCACTCGTAAAGGAATGCTGGATCCTTTAGAGGTTCACCTTCTGGACTTCCCCAACATTGTTATCAAAGGAAGTGAGCTGCAGCTCCCATTCCAAGCATGCTTGAAGATTGAGAAATTTGGGGATCTTATTTTGAAGGCTACAGAACCTCAAATGGTTTTGTTCAACATTTATGATGACTGGCTGAAAAGCATTTCATCTTACACTGCATTCTCCAGGTTGATTTTGATTCTCCGTGCCCTGCACGTAAATAATGAGAAGGCAAAGATGTTACTAAAGCCTGACAAAACAATTATTACCGAACCACATCACATCTGGCCTTCTCTCAGTGATGACCAGTGGATGAAGGTTAGTTTTATCTTACAGTTCAAGAATTTTCTTCCCTGCATTCCGATATCAAGAACTAATCCAAGGCATTACATCTATGCTTAGGAAGTTATATGTTTGTGCTTTAAAAATAGTTGCTATGCCACCATTGTCAGTTGAGGCTGAAGGTTAGAGGGGAGATTTTTCTTTGACCTTGTGGAAAAATTGAAATTATTTTATGCGTGCTAATTATCTTTGGTTTAAAAGCTAGGCTTTCGCTTTATTATTTAAATAACATATTTAGGTCTCATTAGTCAGATTATTGATGAATTATTAGTGACAACTATTTTGCTTTCGGTTATCTTTCAAACCCCCCCCCCCCCCCCGAGGGTCTCTATTCTCCTTCAATTTGCTCGTTTGAAACAACTCCTCCCTCCCTTCTTTCCTCTTGTCCTACATCAGTTAATAACCTAAGGTTAGGTATTTTAATGGAAAGCTGTTAGAAAACCAATTAATGAAATTGTTTGATACCCATTTTCTTCAAGTTGGTTATGTTTCATTATGCTGCTCTTGTTATTTTTAATATAACATAACCTGTACTGAATGCGTGGACAGGTGGAGGTTGCATTAAGAGATCTCATACTCTCAGATTATGCCAAGAAGAACAATGTCAATACATCTGCCTTAACTCAGTCTGAGATTCGTGACATTATACTTGGAGCGGAGATCACTCCTCCTTCTCAACAGCGGCAACAGATTGCAGAGATTGAGAAACAGGTTTTTATTCTTTTCTTTCTTCTTAGATATTGAATTTTAGAGAATTCCATCATGGCTCGCATGTTTACTGGAGTTGTTCAACCTTTTTGCAGGCTAAAGAAGCCAGTCAACTGACAGCTGTAACAACTAAGACAACAAATGTTCATGGTGATGAGCTTATTGTCACCACCACTAGTCCCTATGAGCAGGCTGCATTTGGTTCGAAGACTGACTGGCGTGTCAGAGCAATTTCAGCAACAAATCTGTACCTTCGTGTTAATCATATTTACGTGAACTCTGAGGATATAAAGGTCAGCTGTGTTCTCCTATTTCATTTCTGTCAATCGTATTATAATCTGTATCATCTGCTGATAGCAGAGTGGTTGTGCAGGAAACTGGTTACACCTACATCATGCCCAAGAACATTTTGAAGAAGTTTATCTGCATAGCTGATCTTCGGACACAAATTGCTGGCTACCTGTATGGTATAAGTCCTCCAGACAACCCACAGGTTAAAGAAATCCGATGCATTGCGATGCCACCACAGTGGGGGACTCATCAGCAAGTCCATCTCCCATCAGCTCTTCCAGAGCATGATTTCTTGAATGATTTGGAGCCTTTGGGATGGATGCATACTCAACCAAATGAACTTCCACAGTTGTCTCCTCAGGTTCTTGCTCAACTCTGTTGCTATTAATTTTAAATAGTAATATTGCGAGGTTTCCTAGTCCGCCTGATATTACCATAAAAAACGAGATATAGACCCCAAAAAACAAAACTATGAAATCAATGAACTTCTACATTGGTAAGGGAGAGTACGCTGTTCTTATGACATATGATACATCATCTCACCTGAGTATGAAACATTGCAGGATCTCACTTCGCATGCTAAGATCCTAGAGAACAACAAGCAATGGGACGGCGAGAAGTGCATTATCTTGACTTGCAGTTTTACTCCAGGGTCTTGTTCATTAACGGCATACAAGCTCACTCCATCTGGTTACGAGTGGGGACGTGTCAATAAGGATACTGGAAGCAATCCTCATGGTTATCTTCCTACTCATTATGAGAAGGTTCAGATGCTCCTCAGCGATCGCTTCTATGGTTTCTACATGGTAAGTCTATCTTCTTATAGGGTTTTGTCCTTCTATGATTGGAATGCTTCCTCTTAATATTGAGCTCCGCCTCTTTAATTTGATAAGTACTTGTCTTGATGGTTTTCTGGTTTAATTTCTTAGGTTCCTGATAATGGGCCTTGGAATTACAACTTTATGGGGGTGAGACATGCATCTGGAATGAAGTATGGAGTGAAGTTGGGGACACCTCGCGAGTATTACCATGAAGATCACAGACCAACTCACTTCTTAGAGTTCAGCAATATGGAGGAAGGGGAAACAGTTGCTGAGGGAGACCGCGAGGATACGTTCACTTAACTTTTTTTCTTTTTTGTAATTTTGACCTGTAATTGGCAGAATATGTTGTAATATTTTCCTTTAGTTTTGCTTGTCACGACGCTATTACGACACTGTAAATATGTTAGAGAACCACTAGTCAAATTCTTCTGCTTTTGCAGTTGGGTTGTCAAGTTTTGGATTACGGTTTGCTGAATACAGCTATGCAGCTTACGCTAATCCAATTGAGTGAAGTTCAAGGACTCGGAAGCTTTTGCCTGTAAATTCGGAATTTCTCTTCAACTTGCACATTTTTTAAGCATGGTTTGTCGTTGTAAACGGAATGACAGGACTTTTGTTTTTTCCCCATCTGAAATTTAAATGGAAATGAAAATGCGCTAAGGATATTAGGACGGTTCAACAAACAACTTGCTATACAAAGTTTCCATCTCGTACATGAAGCCTTGAAAGGCACAGCATGATGTACATAAACAAGATGCAATGCAGATTTACAAACTATTGACCTTTTGAAGTGCATGTAACAATTTCTCAGATGACTATGTCCAAATTAAATGAAATAGCACGGCAAGTAAAACCCGAAAACTGATAACCAAAAAAGGAAGGAAAAAAACTGCACAAACATCAGTTGCTCTAAAGAAGAAATGTCCATGGCACCCAATATAAATGGTACTAGCCTTGCAACTATAATAAACAGCAATTAGTGGAAGCTTCACAACCTGCACTTATACCACTTTCAGAATACTGCATAATTTATGGCTCAGGGTTCTCCTTCAACTCAGGTTTTGATTCATTTTCTGCTGATATGAAGTCAGAACTATCTTCAGCAGCTTGTATCCTATCGTCGTTGGAATCAGCAGGTTGAGGGCTTCTGAAAAGTTCATGATCCTCTAGCTGAGAAAACTTAACTTTAGATTCTCCCTTCAATAGCTCTACCACCTCCAGCATGTTGGGTCTCTTCTCAGGCTGATTCTGAGCACAAACAAGTGCAGCATAAACAACCCTTTTAAGCTCTTCCTCCAGATAGTCACCATTTAGTCTTGAATCCACAATTTCACTAAATTTCTTCTCCAAAACCAACGGTAATGCCCATTCGGTTATCGAGCGCTTCACTGTCGCACTCAGTTTTTCAATTGGTTTCCTGCCAGTTGCAAGTTCCAGCAAGAGAATTCCAAAACTGTAGACATCACAACTCTCGGATGCTTTACCTAACATAGCATACTCAGGTGCAAGATAACCAAGGGTACCCTTAACTCTTGTAGTCACATGTGTTGCCCCCTCAGGGATCAATTTAGCAAAACCAAAATCTGCAACCTGAGCCTGGAAATCTGCATCCAAGAGCACATTGCTTGCTTTAATATCTCTGTGGATGATGTGTGGAGTTGCTTGGTGGTGGAGATATCTGGAAGGAAATACATTATATGATTAATATACAGAAGTCACAGTACTTATAAAAGAAATAGAGAGATCAGTACTTACGCAATTCCCTCTGCTGATCCAATTGCAATACTCATCCGTCTGCTCCAACTCAGAAGGCATTCTGCTGAGTGTTGTCCATGAAGATGAGAGAGTAAGCTCAAATTTGGCATATAGTCATATACAATTAATCGTTCCTGTCCTTCAGCACAATAGCCCCGCAGACTAAGAAGATTCTTGTGTCGAACTCTTGCCAATATCTCAACTTCAACAGCAAATTCCATATCTGCTTTGTTGCTCCAAACTTTCAATCTTTTCACTGCAATCTGCATGAGTATACATTTTTAATACTTCCTGCTTTATGGGGATAAAAATAATTACTAGCAGCCAGCCCAAAGAGATTTCTGGAAAGAAAAATGTTTACATCAAGTACTATTAAGCTTATTTGAATTCGAACTGCTTCATTTCCCCAATCATTCATTAAAATCAGTTGACAGCACCTTAAAACATTTTATCAAAAACATTTTCTGCGAGTCCATGAAACACAGCCCCTTGTGAGGGCAATCCCAAAAATGGCCCTAATTCAGTTAAGAGAGTGATAAGCATCCGCTGATATATGTTGACAGCCGCTTAAAACATGTTAGACATAAAAAATGAGGCATTACCCTTAAAATTCAACAAATACACAAGTACTACTATGCATACGTATGAAAATATAAATAAACACGTGTTTAGCTAGCATATGTCAGAACATGTTTAAAAAGTAACTTAGCTTCAAATATTAAATTTTAAACGCTTATTGTTTCTAAGAGTACTAATTATAAGAGTCAAATACTTGGAATGTCATAGGGATCACAGCGCTACTTTCTTTGAATGTCGTTGCTTCTGTGACTATTAAAACTCATGAACCATCAATTTTTCTGCATCCACACAGTGCATCCACAATTACCGATTTTCTTAAAAACCATTACACTCTCGTGAAATTTAAGGAAAATTTTTGTATAACTCAAAGCTATCAAAGCAGACTCAAACAATCATCAGATACCAATTGAACCATCATCTTTAGCAAGAAGAAAGGAGTCCCATACAACATTTTACCAATGTCCTTCACAAATGATTTTTGTCATGCTTGATTCTTCAGATGAAGCTAGTAAAATAAAGCCCTTCCCAATATCAAAGAGGCCAAGAGAAGAAGAAGAAGAAGATGTTGCTTCATTAATATTATATAATCATGATCAGATGGAAAGGGTTTTGAATCATTTTGAACCTTCAAAGTCTTGCCATGGGCAGAGAGAGAGTAAAACTAAATGCAAATAATCATTTTGAACCTTCAAAGTCTTGCCTTGAGTTGAAATAATAAATGATCATTGGCAACAAACGATCAAGAATAAAAACAAGAGTATTCCCTTACTTGTGATCCATCCCAAAGCTGGCCCCAGTAAACACTGCCAAATCCCCCTTCTCCAAGTTTATTATCATAATTGAAATTATTTGTAGCTGAGTGTAGCTCCTTTAAGGAAAAGACTCGCCATGTTGGTTGTGCCTTCCCTCGTGCTTTGCTGCATGTTTAGAAACTCTTAGCATCAACTTCCATTAGAAGATGCAGATACAAACAAGTTTAAATCCTATCAAAAAAATAGTTTGAAATATATCCAGGTCATAAAACAACCATACAAACACACCCGGAAATTCCTATTCTGTCAATTTAGTTAGGAGCAGAGTCTAAATGTTCTCTTCACCTACCAAACTAGCCCAGTAGGTTGCTTTTAGTTTCATGCTTTGAGTCATTTGATCATCCCTAGAACACGCGAAACCCAGACTCTAAAACCCTTTCTTAGTTTCATTTTCCACCCAAACACAAGTGAAGTGGAAAATGCCATGACATTGAGGTCATATCATATATATTTGGTCCAAAACAGTAAGAATCAAGGGGGAAAAAATCCAAAGAGCAGTAAGTAACTAGAGAATATTGCATCATTGACGTACCGATCCGAACCCTTTCCACAACAAAAGATTGGGCAAAAAGCCATACCCTTCTGACCAATCAATCCCACCTTCTCGTATTTCGTTGTAGATGACTTCTCTGAACCCTCCAACCTCTCAGTCAAACCCAGGAAGTAAATAAAAATCCGAACTTGAGATTGACCAAGGAAACCAAATCAGATTCTCCTATCGTTCCACCACTGCGGAAGTTGTTTCTTTCCAGAGCGAAGAAGAATTACAAAGAGGGTGTGAAGGAAAAAAGATGGGAGAAAAAAGATGCCAAGCGTAACACCGAGAGAGAAGCCGAAAACATGCTTCAGTGGGCAAAAGCTGATGATGTATCGTCACGCGAACGTTGGCGCTCAGCTAAAAGGAAAACCCAAAAGAGAGCCAAAGATGAAAAATTGCTTCTTCTTTTTTCCGCCGATGAAGAGATGTGTAAGCTAAGTCATCCTTCCTCTTCTTCCTTGCCAAGCCTTAAGTCCAGCTGTTCACGCTTTTCAGGAGCACTTACATGGGGTCCATTTTCCATTTTAAAAAATAAGAATGAGGTGATGATCTGCAAAATAAAAAAAGCAATTTTTTTTTTTGAAGGAGACGGAAAATAACACTTATTTATTATAAAAATTAATTAATTTAAATTTTTTAATTATTTTAGTCAATTAGCTATTATAAATAGTGAGAGATAAGATTTTAACATCCAAAATACTGTCAACAAATGCATTTTTTCTGAATTAATAATACAGGCCACCAAAGACCCTCAAGTACAAATTAAAATGAGAAAACTAACAATCAGCAAACAAATGTGAATCAAATCTAAGTCAGTGTAAATATATTTAAAAAAACCATTTTTGAGGGAATTACTGTGGAAAAAAAGAGAGATAGATGACTCGGTCTCATAAATATATTGTCAAAAATTTAATCCATAATAATGTTTTTTTTATAATTCCACATTAAAAAAAACGATTATTCCTTGTTTGGTAAGAAGAAGAAAGGTGGGCAAGATATTGGGAATATTGGTTTATTTTATTCCTCTCTAGAACAGAGAAGCAAAAACTAGGCAGGGACACAAATATTCAGAACTTGCATAATTCTTAAATGAGCTAAGTGGGTAGGTTTTGTGATAGGCTGATTCTTTAGTACGGGTATGTCTCCTTGAGACTGCTAAAACAGGACATTCATGGCATGTGCTTTAGCTTCCTTTGTTGTTTGTTTCTTCACTGCCTTTTATCCACTTGGATTTTTCTTCTTTGGCAACTTGGGTGAAAAACAATAATTTTCATCACGATATATTATATGCATATAGGAGTAGAAGATTTAAAAAAGTATTTGGAAGCACTCAAAAGAACTTTTTTACGTAACGAGACAAATTCTTCTACATATTTATTTCGTATATCATAAAAACACTTTTAAAACCATAGTTTTGATTCCATCTAAATATTATACAAGTGCTATTCTTATTTTAACATCTATTTTTGCCCCCTTAATGAAAGTGAATTATGTTTATTTGCACAGAATGTTAGAATGATTTTAAATTTCCATTCAAAAGGGGGAGAATTACACGTCATATAGGTCTCATGGTAACCAAAAAAAAAAAATTACCCACATATCCCAACCATTTATAAATTATGAAATTTGCTACCACCTCCTATCGTTAATGTAAGAACTAGTCTAACTTTTAATTTGGTTCTAAATATAAGATTTCAATTTACTTTATCTCTCGTATTTATTTATTTATTTTCAAAATATTCCTTATAGTAGTTGCATATATTAAAGATTTTATCAAATATTAGTTTTAGCTAATAGTCAGGTCAATAAAAAGTTCTAGCTAATGCATATTATCAGCAATGATATTCTAGGAAAGAAAACACCTATTTATTATAAATAACTAACTTACTTAACAAATTTTTTTAATCTATTTAAATTAGTCAGCTAGCTCTTACATTAAGGATGGTTAAATATTGACTTGTAAATGAGATTCATAAAATAATTTTTATTTTGGACTTGATTGTAATTTTTTTCTTTTAATCTTAATACACACACGCATGTATAATAAGTTAATATCTTTCCCTGAATTATTTTGGGCGAAGAGGGCGGTAAGTGGTGTTATTGGCTGTGAAGTAGACGGAAAGTTTTGGCACTTATTATAATACGGGCAAAATATTAGTCTATTGACTGATGACTGATGATTGGTTTGGTGAAAACATTAATTGAATTATTAAGGAATTGATGGGCAAAAAATGTTCTACCAGAGCATTATAGGATGTATATATTACAATAACATAATTATAATGACTATATGATGTTAATTAAATTCAATGATTAATTAATTAGGTGTTGTTAGCAGAATCAAGTTGTCAATCATTGATGTCAGAATAGACTGCAAGTGCTTGTCCCTTAAGCCTTAAAAGACAAATTCCATACAAATGAAATGAGCTGTTCTTTTATTCTATGACCATTGGCTAGCTTCCACCTCATCATAATATATTCATAAATACTTATAGGGATTACTTCACTCAATCATAATATCACCAATATTTTAATCATTTTTTGAACAATATTTATACAAAAAATTTTATATTTATTATGTCAAGTTTTTCAATCACATTTGGTTATATGTTCTATTTTTAAAATATTTGTATTTAATTATAAACCCACATAAAAAAAAAATTAAAACAGACGTTTGACTAAGTGGCTTGATATAATGAATATAAGTACCTCAATTTAAGTTTTCCCCCCCTCATTTTCTCTTAATTGGGAGGATTTAGTGAGATTATGGACTAGTGAGTTTGTTTTACCTGAATCAAACACAATTTAGAGAGACTATGAGCTAGTGAGTTTGTTTTACCTAAACTAAATACTATGTTAATTTTTCGCATTCCCAAATATAAGAGCTGGTGAATCTGTTTTGATCTTAAATATAAGATCTTAATTTTTTTGTCTCTTAAATGTATAATGTTTCTCCTCAACTATCTCTATTAATTGCATATATTAAGTTCATTAAGGGAGTAGTTTTCCATGAAAGTTATTAAAAGAATAAAGAGAGTAATTTAAAAAAATCAACACATATTTTTTATAAATAATTAACTTAATTAATTTTTTTAATCTTTATCAACAAGTTATATCATTCTTATATTTAGAATTGTGAAAGTATTTGAGACTCATCTCTCATGCTATTGAATTTTCATGTTGTTATTAATAATAATGAATAGTTTATATGTGTTATTTTCTTTCTTTTAAAATGTCCGTCGTTTTCAAGCTTTTGTAATTTTATTAAAATCATCATCATTTTATAATTCCAATGAAATATCAAACTATTACTAATCTTTTCCCCTTATTTTGCAGTTCATCTACCTTCTGCATTTAATTTTTAAAAAAATAGAGAGAGAATACTGAAGACAGTACCTCATTAAACCAGTGAAAGAGTATATATCTCAGGAAAGCAGTACTACCACCGGTCCTAATTATAAGAGTTAGTTGACTAATCTGAGAAGATTAAGGAAAAAAGTTAAATTAGTTGTTTATAATAAATAGGTATTGTATTTCCTAAAATATCCTTATTAATAAAGTGCATTGGTTAGAATTAACATTGTTAGAAGGACTACCTTAGAAAAAAATACATAAATATGAGAAACAAAATAGATCAGAGTCTTATATTTAGAATCAAAATAAAAATCAAATAAGGTCTTGTATTAAGAACCGAAAGTAATATATTATTATAATTTAGGCTCCGTGATCTTTCTTCCCCCCCCCCCCCCCCAACCCAACCCAACCCAACCCAACCCAAATCTCTGTAAAATACCCCAAAATAACAGACATTTCAAAAGCATGATGGGTTATTTTCTACCAAACAGTTTAACGTACATTTAGTGTATCTCAGTAAGAGCCAACCTAAGTAGCTGAATATTTGTTGACTGAGAGGGCATATACTGCGAGGTGGTCCCATTTCGGATGCTTATTGGTGCACACCAAAGATATACCGCCGCCCGTTTTTAATATAAAATCTGATTGGAAATTTAATTTAATTTTAAATATAAGACTCAAACTTATTTTATTTTTAATATTCATTTATTCTTCTTTTTGTAATCCCTTATAGTGAGTACACATGTTAAGGAATTTTTATTAAAAGATAATTCTAATGCATATGACTAACAAGAATATTTTAAAGAAAACAATACTTATTTATTATAAATAACCAACTTAACTAATTTTTTTAATTTTATTAAATTAATTATCTTGTTCTTATATTAACAACCAGTGTATTCTAACCCTTCACCGTCAAATCTCAATCACTCTACAATTACTTTTAACCAACCTTTCTCAACTTGAACCTCTAGATTTCTAGCACACAACACAGAAAGTCAGAAGTTTACAGAAAACTCAACTTTATTTATGACACAATCAGAAACAAAACCTATAATAATATTCTACTAGTTCTCGTGTACATACATACATACCACAAACAATCTTAAATCTTTTCATTGCTTACAATAAAATCAAACCAAAGAGAAGCAGTGAAGTCAGCCCCAACAACCTTGTTGTAACTGCAACAACAAGAACAGCATCCGATGAAACAACATTTGTGGTGTTTGGCTCAGACTTATGAGTCACAGGAAGATAATAATGCTGCACTGTTCCCAGTGATCCTTCTGATGAACCACCATTTGAGCTCCCATCACACAATTCAATGTCGTAGTTATTAAATGTACTGAACCCACTTTTCTCTGCATAACACAGCCCAGAATTATTATACAGTCTCAGCTTCTTCTTCATCCTCCACACCATTTCTCTGCTAAATGGGACTGACCCACTTAGTTTATTATCATTCAGTCTCAGTTCACTCAGGTTCTTCAGGTCCTTGAAGCTTTTTGGGACCGACCCGTTTAGGAAATTCCCGTCAAGATGAACCACACGAAGGTTTGGTAATTTGCCCAGGGATTCTGGTATTGGGCCGTGTAAGTTCATGTTGGATAGTATCAGGGTCATTAGATTCGTCAAACCTGTGAACCCGTCGGTGGGTATTATTGTTGGGCCTGGGCCCATTGGGTTCCCTTTGAGAATCAGGGCCTGCAGAGAACTCAGGCTTTTGAGGGATTTTGGGAATGGGCTGCAGAGTTTGTTGTAGCTCAGGTCCATTAACATGAGCTCTTTTAGCCCGGAGATTTTCTCCGGCACCGGTCCGGTGAGATGATTGTGGCTGAGATCCAATTTGATTAGAGAAAGGCAGGTTCCTAAGGTGGATGGTATTGGGCCAGTCAGAAGATTCTGGCCCAGGTCTAGTATGTTTAGTGCTGGGAACGTTAAATTGGGAATGGGCCCGGATAATTTGTTGCCGCTTAAGTCTAGCGACCTTAAACCCGTGATCCGGTTCAGTGACAACGGTATTGACCCGTTGAGGTTGTTGTTGTGAAGATCCAGGACTCTCAAACGGGTGAGGCTGCCTAGTTCGTTTGGGATGGGCCCCACGTGGGCGTTTTCTCTGAGGACTAATGTTTGTAGCGTGGGGCCCAGCTTGCCGAGAAACGTAGGGATTGGCTGAGGATTGTAACTGAAACAACGGTAGAAGAAAAGGGTCTTGAGATGGGGCAGTTTGGTGACGGACCGCGAAATGTAAGACCGGGTCGGGTCGCATGTGGGGAAAGCAGTGTCGTCAGAGAGAGCTCCGAAGGAGAGCGACACAACATGATAGACATTGTCGTTGTCGGGCATGCACTCAATGCCGTGCCACCGGCCGCGACAGACGTCGGGGATGTCGGTGGCCCAGTCGTTGCCGGTGGCTCGCATGATGTCGTAGACTGCTTCTTGCTCGTGAGAGTCGGTTCGAGCGCCGTCCTGCCTCATGGAGAACCCAGTCTGAGGGCCATCTACAAGAGATGAAGGCACGCCGGAATCTGACATGATGGCCGTGAAGGACAGAGCAAGGTGGGGAAAAAACATGAGAGCTAGGAGTTGCAGTGGGAGGAAAAGATAGAGAAGCATCATTTTGGAATTTAGTGAAAGACGACGACGGGGTTTGGGTTCTTAAATAGAGGGGGGGGGGGAGACAGAGAGAAGTGGTAAGAAATGAGGTTGGTGGCTTGGTGCAGAGATTAAAGAAGGCTAATTTATGTGGTCACGAGAATGAGGAGAATGGTTATAAATAGGAGAGAAGAGAATGAGCATTTATGTGTATCACGGGATTTACACCGTAACGCTTAACAAGGACCCCAATAAGGCTCCTCCTATTTGGACCACCTCTGTTGCTAAATGACTCATTACTTTGGGCTCTCATGGGCCTTTTCACTCAGCATGGCCCATTCTCGATCCATTGTGCCTTTTTAAAAGAAAAGAAAAATTGCTGGAAAATCCCATATTGACATGTTTATAGCCTAGAGCTACATGAAATTTGTAGGTCCATAACAAGGAGCAACTCATTTTCGACCTGTGCAAACTTTTGTTTAACTGAATTCTAACATATATTTAGCCACGAGCAAATCTATGTCTTCCATTTGGCCTTTAATTTAAAATAGTATATGAACAACTTCTTTTTCCTATTCATAAGGTTTGACCCTTTTTTTTAATATATTTATATAAATATATTAAAAAATTAAGAGATTAACAGAAAAATATTATTATTAATTATAATTATTATTAATATATAATAAATAAAGATACAACAGAACCACTAAGTTGTTGGTTGAAATAATAAGTGGTCTCATTCCCGTAAGGAGGAGAATACAAGTTTGAACTCTAAAAAGCATACTTGTGGGAGGGTTTTAACCTTAAAGCTCTTAGCCCTAAAAACATTAATCTCAAGATAAAAGTGATTTGAGAATATTTTAAGTTATAAAAAAATTAAGATATAACAGTCTTGTACAATCCAAAGTCTTCAAAACAATAAAACTTTCATAATAAAAGATATGTTACATCCTATTACTCAAAACAATTACACTTGCTCAGATTTTTTGACGGGGAATTTTCAGCAAATTTCAGGTATTCAATAAAACTTCCGGTGAGAAATTTTCAACAATTTTCTCGAGTTTTAAAGGTGTCCTGTGCATGGGCCTGCCATGAGTTATCACAGCACATGGACACTTGGGAAGAACATAACACGCCACATAATGGTTCGAATCTCTGCAGAGCAACACGTAGAATCATATAGTAGACCAAACAAAAAATGAAAACCAATAAGAGACTGGAGATAAAGTGATAAACTCAGCAATTTGCATAACCTTGACATCTATGCCTCTATATAGTTCCACTACAGTAACCAGCATCGTTTCATTGAGAAGCACTGCTTTGCTTTTGAAACCCAGAAACATAAACTTATTGTCTTTTAAGACGCAAAGCATGCAAGAAATAAAGGAGGCGAATGCCAACATGCAGTGGACTGAAAGCACGAGGATTATTACAGACAAGAAGGTGAAAGATTTGATGGCAAATAATGCGAAGAGGCTAGTAGAGGTGCCGTACACGGCGTCGCTGTCTCAGGTGATGGGCACGCTGGTTGCCAACAACGTGGTGGCGGTGCCGGCGGTCGCGCCACCAGGGCAATGGATCGGGGCCGGCGGCTCAATGATCGTGGAAACAGATAAGCAAACGGGAACCCCGCGAAAGCATTACATAGGGATCGTGACCATGTTTGATATCGCCGCTCACATAGCTGGTGATGATCGCTTGAGCCAGAACGATGATGGAGTTGAAGATCTTCATGAAAAAATGTCTGCTCCAGTGTCCTCCATTATAGGCCACTGCGTCGAAGGTCTCAACTTATGGACGCTCAGTCCTAATACCAGGTGAATATATACGCACACAAGAGTTTTTGGGCTATATGTTTCATATGTGGGATGGGGACTCAGTTGTATGAGATACTAAGTCCCATATTTAAATATTAAGGACTTCTCATCCCACTTAGTTACTCATCAACATGCATAATTAAACGTTTATATATTAACTTGTGCTTGGATATGTAGTTTAACGGATTGTATGGAAGTATTTAGCAAAGGCGTGCATCGAGCTATGATACCAGTGGACAGCCAGATGCAGCAGATATCAGAAAGTGGTGGGATTGAACTGATAGAATCTTCTTCAGGCTATCAAATGCTGACCCAAATGGACGTGATCAAGTTCTTGAAACAGCATGCTTCCGAGTTGAACCACATTGTGGGACGCTCTGTTGAAGATCTTTGCGCAGTGACAGATAAAGTGTACGCCATTACTGAACGCACAAGACTTATTGACGCCATCAGATGCTTAAAAGCTTCCATGCTCAACGCGGTTCCAATCGTTAATGCCTCGGAAGTCGGCCCAGATGATCACAAACAGCTTCTTAATGTAAGTCTCAGATCAAAACAAAAACACATACACTTTCTAGTTTCTTTGTGTTTTACTGAGAAAGTGTGATGAAATATGTCCTGTAAATGGCAGGGAAGAAGCAGGAAGCTGATAGGGACATTTTCTGCAACTGACTTGAGGAAATGTGACATAGAGACACTGAGATTCTGGTTAGGCAAAAGTGCTTTAAGATTCACAGAACAGATGGCATCATCAGAAACTCCTCAACAGGAGACTAGTAGTACATCAAGAAGAGAACTAGTGACGTGCACTGCTGAAACTGCTTTGTCTGAAGTAATTGACAAGGCAGTGATGAGACATGTTCATAGGATCTGGGTGGTGGACCAAGAAGGTTTGCTCGTTGGAGTTGTGTCCCTCTCAGACATAATTAGGGTTATCAGGACTTGTCTGCTAAGCACAAAGTGGTAATTAAATTCTGTCTTCAAAAAGGCTTTTATACCTAACAATGTAAATATCTGTTTTCTGTGCACATTAGGGAGTTCATGTAGCTAGCTTCTTGGTTCTTATCCTTAGAAATAGAATCTTCAAGAGGGGAATCTGAGTGCGTGATGCAGATTTGGAGTTGGATTTTATAAGACCAGTGGAATATCCGCAGCACATGGGGTGGGTTGGACTCTTGTTGCACCGGACACTTCATAAATAACTGGATGCAATCTCTTGTTTATTCTAAGAATTTTTTTTCCTTTTAATTGTTTTTTTCCGCAGGTGTGACATACAAAAGTTGGATGATAATGAGTTTTAACTAAATTAATGGACAGAGATGCAATGAAATTATTAGGTATTTAATTAATTAGATCCAATAGGTGAGGTAAATTACAAATATAAAAATAAATGACTTACTTGTTACTAATAATTATTTGTGGCATAGATGATACAAATTAACAGCCCTTCACTTCTACTTATTTGTTTGCACCTTGTCTTCCGGTGACATCAATGCTTTTTTATTTGAAAAAATTACATATTTTTTATTTGATTTGTTCCTTCTATTTACTTAAGAAAATCAGAATGATAAATTAATTATAATATAAATATATTCGAATAAATTATATTATTCCTTTTTATTAGAGGTGTTTAAATATTAGATTAGTTCTATTATTAGTAAAGAAATTGTTTATATTCTGCGTTAACTTTAATTAAAGAGACTTCGCAAATTCTCATTCACCTAACAAACCGGATCACGTTAGTTGTATGTTCATCCACTTATGACTTATTATACCCAAGTGTCAAACATATGTAAACATCTAGTATAGGAAGTGATAAATTTTTAAATTTAAAATTTTTCAAAGATACAAATATTGTTATGAAGTACAAAATGTGTAATTGAAATTAAATTTTAAAATTATTTATTACAAATTTATATTTTTTAGAATAATCCATATTATTGATCAAAAGGGAAACCTTTATAAAATGATGCCACTGCGTGGATGGCTGGATGCCTCTCTGTATAATTCTCAACAAATATGAAACCAATCTCAGCGAATCAAACCAGAATTTTGGCTCTGTTTATGATGTTCCCCTTTAAATACTTAAATGATACTAGAGTCGGGAAAACGGGTTGAACCCGTCTGGCCAGTTTATGTCTGAAATTATGAGAACGGGCTTAAAATTTTTCCCCTCAAATTAGAAATAGGCCCTGGAGGGCTGGCCCTAGAGGGCCGAGAGCTTAAAAGGGCTGACCTGTTTAAGCTCTTTTATAATTTTTCTTAAATTTTTTAATATAATTCTAATATTATTAATTTTTATATATTAATAATATTTCAAATATTTAGTTATTATTATCATTTTAAAATTAAATTTTATAAAATGATTTGATTTATTTAGTTTTAGACAATAATTTATCCAATTAAATTTTTAAAAAATGGTTTAATTTAGACTTTAATAATGATTTGATTTATATTATATGCGTTAATATTTTTAAACTATATATATTTAATAATAGAGTATACTTATATAACTTGTGATTCTATAATTTGAATTAGAAATTCATGAGTTTTAACAACAATGTTTCTTACATTAAAGTAAAATAATAGCTAGATTAAATTTAAAAGTAAAATTCCTATAAAGAAGAAAAACTCCATATTTTTGTTACGAAAGAAAATCATACTTATGAAGAAGAGTAGTTGATTATAGTGATGATGAAGTTTTAAAAGATTAATGATAGTGTTTATTTATTGCACAATTGCACTATAGATAAAACTTTTAGATGTTATTATCTTGTTAATTAATGTTTTAGATGTTCTTCGATGTTGATGGATATTTATATATGATGATATTTTATATTTATAACTTAATTTTATTCATATTTATGTCTTTTATTAACAATTTTATTGGTTTATTTTCATTTTTTTATAAAAAATATGAGAAATATAAAAAATAATATTTTTTTAAACAGGCCAAAAGCTCGCGGGCCGACCCTGAACCCGTTAACTTAAGAGCCGGGCCTAGCAAATTAGGGTATTTTTGAAATTTTGGTCCTGAAAGACGGCCCTTTTAAGCCCGCCAGCTTTGAAGGGCCAGTCCTGGAGGGTTGGGCCGGTCCTGATTCCCACCTCTAAATGATGTCATGTTTTGTGTTTCAAAAATTTTAAAAATAATCTAATAGTGCATTCCTTAAAGAACAAGGAGAGGTTTTTTTTTTTTTTTTAAGAACGGGGGTGGCCATGTTGTGTCTGCGACTTACTCCTCTGGTTTTGCACTATACTTAGGGGTACTTAGATAAAAACAAAATAATAATTTAAAAAATAATTTTATGATATAAGGAACAAAATATGTGAAAGTTTATCTCGATATATGAAAAAATAATTTTCAAAAGTACTTTATAATTTCCCAAATATCCCCTTGATCTTAGTCAAAAAATCGAGAAAAGTACTAATTTTCTGGTTCTAGAGTAAAAAGGAAAGAAATTTTTCTGAAATGTATAATTTTACTTTTTATTTATTATTATGTGGACTTTATTTTTAATGATATATAATATATATTAAATATTGGATAGAATTAAAAACTTGTTAAATTTTAAGAAAGAACTAATGAAATTTAAGTTTTTTTTATATACTATTTCCTATTCTTAATATAAGCTTAATGACTAATTTGAGAGAATAAAAAAAATTTTTAAGTTAGTTATTTGTAATAAATAGGTGTTATCTTTTTAGGAATATCCTTACTCATCATGTGTATTAACTATAACTGTTATTTGATAAAACATTTGATATGTACAATTACTATTATTTTAAAAGAATAAAATAAATTAGATTCTCATATATTTAGTACTCCCTCCGACTCCGTCTCTTATTATAGCAATATAAAACTCAATTACGTAGATCAAAAAATTAGTTAAAGACAACATATATAAAAATTAAATTTTTTTCTCCAAAATACCCTTATTTATGGGGGAAGAGGATATAAGAAAGAAAATAAGAAAATTATTATAATAAAAAGAATTATGAAAGAAAGAGAATGTGTGATGAAGAGAGATGATATTAATAGAGATAAAATAAAAAATTTATAAAATACCAAAAAAGACGATGGTTATTGTTTATACAACTAGACAGGAGGAGGGAGTGTCAAATTAACAGGAGATTGCATAAGAAATGTGTTGAAGGTTATTTACAAACAGGTTGAGACCCCTAGCATTTTCCCATCACTTTGGACGGCGCCATGAATAACCCACACACAGTACCATCACATTAAGTGCCTACGACTTTGTTCCTCACACGTGGATCACACAATCCAATTCAACATGTGTCCTTGGAATCTTGGAATCATGACACGTATGCAACCATGTATAAACAAAAACTTTGATCCGAATTAAATCTAGATTAATAAATATTAATATTTTTAATATATATAAAAACATTTACAAAATAATACTCTCTTGTTCTACCTTTGTTTTTAACAGATTTTTTTTTAGCTAAAATGTATACTCCTTACCTTCCTCATTTTGAGCTTACTGTTCCCAATCCCAGACACACTCACACAAAACCAAGTTCCAGGAGCAATTAAAATAGTTTTCTAAATTGTCCGTTTTAATTATTAGAATTGCATTTCTCACCCTTGTTTAGTAGTAAAATATATTTAATTGAAGCTGAAAAAAATGATGGGATTTAATTAAAAGCAACATTGGAAAAACAACCAAAATTTAAAAGATCACCGCTAGCTCTTTTTAATTTCTCACTTAAAAAGCTCCTCATTCACCTGTTTTATTTATAACCTTTAAATTTAGGAATAGACGTGATGTATTTTATAAACTTTAATTTTTTTTTGCTTTAACATTTCATGTGTTTTTTAATATTTATTTTAAATTATTTCTCTCTTATAGTATTTTGTAATAAATTTTATTTCATCTTTTTCTTATTTATTATAAGGGCATAATTGAAAACAAATATATATTTTTAACATATTTATTATTTTTAACTAATTTAACTAGTTGTGGGATGTACACTTAATCCTTTAATTTACATGCTCCACATTCTAATTATTTCTGCAAGTGACAAATAATAAATATTTTATGATGTATTCAGTATATCAAAATATTTTGTGGATTGCATCGATCACCAAGGTAAAAAAAAACTTCAGGTGCCTAAACACACCTAGACAATAGTGAAATACTAAATGGATATAAAATGATTGGAAAATACTGGATATATACGAGAAAATACTTCGAATGTCGGATGCTCCCTGTTTCCAAATTAAATATCCATTTCTATTTGCTGTGACCAGAATAATTGTAGTCCAAGATGGGTAAATTTGGTAAATATATACCGAATGCGGCACAACTCTTAAAACGAAATACTATATTTTAAATTATTACCAAAAAAAAATATTTTCAAATGGAAAAAGAAATCACCGTCCAACTCCAACCGCGTTAACATGAACAGAAATTTAAAATTTTAAAAATAAAAATAAAATAAGAAAGAAAAAAATTCGGAGGCGTGGTCATGAATGAAAAAGCCCCACCACCCCCACTACATCCGCGCCTACACCAATAGACAGCATAGCTTCACCTCCAGGCCCAAAGAATCAAATCCGCCGAACCTTTTCACGTCTCTCCAATTTCTCTTTTTGTGAATAAACTCTTCAAACTCTTTCAGCAATACTGAATTTTCCCATTAATCCTCTTCCTCATCCCTAATTTCCCACCAAATTAATCCTCGTGAACTCCGCCTTCTTCTTTCCCATCCCCTGCATTAATACCGCCTCTCTCTTCTCTTCCCAATGGCTTTCCTCTCTGTCTTCTTCTTCTTCTTCTTCAATCGCCATGGACGGCGTTGATGCCCACCCACTCTCCGCCATCACGCCAGCAACCACTGCTACAACAACGACGTTTGTCACCGCCGTCAAGCGCAGGCACGCACGCAGAACACCGGAGGCTGCTGTGTCCGCCGTTGAGGAAGATCGCCGTGTGAAAGACATGGGGAAGAAGAGTGTGTACAGTCAGGCGTCGTTCATGCAATGGACGATCGCCGACGCCGTCCACGTGGCTAGATTCCATTGGATTCCCTGCTTGTTCGCTCTCGGCCTTCTCTTTTTTATGGCCGTCGAGTATACCCTCCGAATGGTGCCGTCCTCATCTCCGCCGTTTGATTTGGGGTTCGTCGCCACTCGGTCCCTTCACCGTCTCCTTCAATCATCGCCTCAGCTCAATACCCTCCTTGCCGCCCTCAACACGGTACGTCGTCCCCCCCATCCCAGTTTCAGATCTGAACCTATTCGATAAACGACATTCTAGAATCAAATCGCTCTTCTTCCTCTCTGTTCTTTTGCTGGTACAGAAAAGAATCTAAATCTGTTGGACCAAACCCAAGCAGGTGGGGTAGGATCAAAATCTGATCCCTCTGATCTCTTCATTTATGACCATATTTATTGACTTTGGTTTCTGAACAGGTGTTCGTTGGAATGCAAACCACTTACATCCTATGGACGTGGCTCATCGAAGGGCGACCCAGAGCCACAATCTCAGCTCTGTTCATGTTCACATGCCGAGGCATTCTAGGCTCCTCCACGCAGCTTCCCTTACCCCAGGTAAACGAACAAATACTGATAATTCTCCAGATTGAAATATTTGTTGTTGCCACATACAGAAAAACATGGGGATGTGTGTGGGAAATGGAAGTGTACATTACATGTTTGGCTGTATCAGGGACTTAATTGGAGATGGGTTTGATTTGAATGGTGTGAAACAGGGGTTCGTGGGATCGGGGGTGGATTTTCCGGTGGGGAACGTATCGTTCTTTCTGTTCTTCTCCGGGCACGTGGCTGGATCGGTGATAGCGTCGCTGGACATGAGGAGGATGAAGAGGTGGGAGCTTGCGTGGACGTTCGATGTGTTGAACGTGCTTCAATCAGTGAGGTTGCTGGGGACGAGAGGCCATTACACCATAGATTTAGCAGTGGGTTTGGGAGCTGGCATTCTGTTTGATTCTTTGGCTGGCAGATACGAAGACAGCAAGAAGAAGACAACACTTTTAGCTGTCTCTTCTCCCAGTAACGGCTCCACCAAAGAGCCTCTCCTCATGTCTTGTACCACTAAGTAAAGTAAAGGAGGCATTTTCCGTAACATATAGATTCATATGAGAGGATTAAGAAAATCGTTTAAGTTGATTATTTATTGTTTTTGTCTAATAATTGTGTTTCTTTCTCTAAAATTTCGTTATTTTATTGTGGATATTAACTGTGAAAGGGAAAAAAATGAAAGAGAGAAATATGAAATTAATGAGAACAATGTTAGAAAAGATATTGGATGGAGAAGATAAAGAAAATTGAGTTCTTATTTAAGATTAGAGTTAAAATGTATCCAAAATAAAAATATTAGACGAAAAAGATAAAGAAAATAGAGATCGGGTAAAAATGCTTTCAACTTAGGGAAAAATGTGAGCAATTTTATCATAGGGATTCCAATCCATCAGATCTGACCCGTTGGTAGTTGTATAATGTATTAGAGTTTTAATATACATATATACTCTTCTGGTCCTATTTATAGGGTAGAGAGAGAAGGTTTTTTTTGTCCTATTTATAAGTCACCTTATTAAATTTTTACTATGACTTTACCATGTTGCCCTTCATTTATTATAGTGTAGATAGTTATTTTTTTGAAATAGGTATATATTAAATAGGGGTAAAGTTGAAAAGTTGCTATATTTTAATAAAGAGTTAATGCAGTTTAAGGTTTTTCTTGGTCTGTATGAAACTTATTGGAAATGCTTTATAAATAGGACCAGAGGAGTATATTAACAATAATTAGGTCTATTGTTAGTCCAACTGTCCGAGAGGAAGCAGAGTTGATTAGGTATTGGCAATTAAGGTAATTCGTTTTGTATGATCATTTTGTTTTTCAATTAAAAGTTTCAAGTTCACGATAATTTTAAAAGGGAAACCAATGTTTGGTTGTCATTATTATATTTGTTTTATTTTCACATGAATTTGGGAGTTTTGTGGTGAGGGTGAAATACTAGTAATTGCAAAGGTTGACTTAAAATACGGGATATAACTATATGGGACTTATTTATTTATTTTTTGTCAGGATGGATATGAATGCCTTTGGAGTGGTAGATTTGAATGTCAACAATAAAAAAAAAAAAAAAGTGAATTGGCTTCCCCACTTCCACGAGCTTCTCATACGCGTTATTCAGCCTTCTTTTCAAATATAATGATAGTAGCAATTATGAAACCCGGTTGAATGGAGACCAAATTTTTTATATTTATTATAACAAATGTTCAAATATCACGTGCCATGTGAATCTATAATTAAAAAAATACTATCCCAAAAATAGAACACATTAAATGTCTGAGTTGAATATAGTGCACTCCTCTATAATAAATACCATCTTTCATGCTATTCTCAACACCCAAGTAAATCCCTTGGCTTAATGGATAAATGATTCACATCATCTAATATTTTTTGTTCTATTAAACAAGAGTCATAATATCAGAAAATTATTTTATATTAAAATTGGTTGCCTCACTATTTTTCATTAAATAAGACAAATGATATTAAGATTAAGGATTAAGAATATAATTTATAAATTTAAAAAACTAAACTGAAATTTAATACAGACTTGGAGCATCAAACACAAACTTTAATATAAGTAATTAACAGAAACTCCTGAGGTTAAAAAAACAAACATACTTTTCCAATATAAGTAGTCCACTGGTGATTTTTTTTTTTTGGTTGCTTTAAACAGTTGCCATAACTTATTCCCTGCACAAAACCCAAAACTTCCATGCTTTTTTGGGAAAAAAGATGCTCCAGGATTTTTTTTTTGGCCAACAAACTGTGTAACCCTCTAATGTATTGCCTTTTCATTAATTTTCTTTTGAATTAATGAAAAGGCAATAAAATTACTATCCTTACAAATAGATTGAAAGAACAATGATGACAGCAGTTCAAATGATTTTTGCACTTGTTATTCTCTCAAGTAATGTCTCAAATCTAAGTTTGGTATCTGGAGAAAATTATTGCTGATAAAACTTCACATCTATATAATCTGACCCAGCTTGACATTTCATTAATCTGACAAGTTACAGTGCAAACATTATTTGGCTCCAATGCAGCAACAATGCCTCTGAAGGAGGAGAAAAACGGAGACATAACGAAGCAGACATGTAATAAGGTTGTAACTGCAATTTTATGTGGGATTAAGAGTGGAATTTACAGTGTCCCCTGTAGTGTTGAGGAGCAATTATACGTACTTTGACTGAGAGACACATCTGTATATGAAGTATAATAACAATAATCCTATTCCTCAGACACAGAATCCATGTCCAAGGCACATGTACCATCATCTACATTGGCCAATGGGTTGTACAAATGGGAGCTAGGATCAGTACACCCAGGAACCAAATCCAAACTGCACCTGTCACCCTGCAGATTTATTTATTTTTTCAGTTTCTAAAACAACCACATCAGGAATAAAGAAGATGGTTTGAGGAGAGGTGGATGGGATCTAGTGGAGCTCACTGAAGTGGACCCCATTCCCTTTTCTCAACTCTATTTAACTTGAACTTTGGAAGTAACAAAAATAATCATTCTCATAAAAAAAGAAGCACATAATGAAGATTTGAAGAATGTGCTGTTTAGTACTCACCCCTTCTTTAGAAAGATTACCAATCATTGCACATCTAGTAACGACTATATTTGTGTCTGGGAATATTGCTTTCTCACATGCTCCTTCTTTACTCAGTTCCTCTGCCAATCCCTATCACAAGATTTACAACTTCCAATTCAGTATCATTTCCGCCATGTGCCCAAACATATCCCGTTTTTGAACTTTCACATATTTAGTTCCTCGAGTAGCTCATTTACACTTGAAACATGCCAAGCACACTTTTTAAGACTCAGCCATGACATGTCTGCCTAAATCTATTCATACTGGACTTGACATTCTTATGTTTTGTAAAATGAGTCTGTTAGAGAATCTGTCATGTTTTACCTCATTAAAGAAGTCAATTGGCTTGTTTTGCCACCGCTTAGGAACTTGAAACTGAAGCCTGTAGGGGCCATCCCAGTCAACTCCATTTGTAAAGGAGAAGATCAAATTCAGAGCTAAAATAGAAGAGGAAAAATTAGAACATGATGAGAAGACAATAAATGGTTTTACAAGAGGGGAAAAACAAGCAGAGAAACAAGTGTACCATGCTTAGGAATGCATATCTGGATGGTGTATATTGGGGCATCAGCTTTGCCTCTATCTTTTCTCAGCATTTCTCTTGGCTCACCACCGCACATAATTGGCTGGTTAAAACCTCCTGAAAAGCGTGTAACTTCACAACTTAATCCCAAAAAACATGCCTAGCAATATGAATACCATCAAATCCGAAGTAATATGAACTACAGGGCAGCCTCACTATAACTTGATAAGTCAAATAGTGAAGTCTCCTGAATCATCTGTGGAACTGTTTGAACTTTAAAGGATTAAATTCTTCTACGTTTCGTGAAAATATTTGTGGGATAATTAAGTGAGATCATCAAAATTACCGTTAAAACCAACTCCAAATTCTTCGTTGGGGGCAAGTTGAGTTGCTGCTGGATTATAAAAAAGCTTTAGCTTTTCTCCCTGTCAGGATGTGAAAAGATACTTAATTTAAGACAAGAAACTATCAATGGGCTGAACTCTATATTGTACCATCATACTTACCGAAGCAGGAGGAAGACCATTCATGGTTTTCCAGTAGACAGGAGCTATCCCAAGTTCAAACATAGCCCATGAAGGAAGTTTGTACCTAAAAAGCATCATAGTAGATTTTGTAACATTGCACATAAAGATAACTGAATTCTTGAGAAATCAAATGCTCTTGGAGCACAAAGAACCCTGCAACTTGAGACAATAACTAGAAACTTCAGTAAGTAAAAGATATCTAGTTGGAGTTTCATACTCCTGAATTTCCTCAGCTGGGGCTGCCACAGAAACAGCAGCGGCACTGATTTTTCTGCTGACTTTAACATTTCTCTTGTTCACCGGTGAAGAATTTGTCAATGGCACATTGAGAAAATTCTTGGCTGCATCAGAAACGATACAACTGTAACAATAAGAAAAATACAAGACTGATCTAGTTTTATGCAAATTCGGAGTTTAATGCTTTTTGCCATTCAAACTGACAATCCACATCTTCCCAATACTGGGTGAGGTAATAGGTATCATATCTTAAAGGAAATTTGAATTAAAAAATAAAACAAATTGTTTTCTTCGCATCTACAGAAATCATTCTGATATTTCTGCACATTGTACTATTGAGCTGAGGAATGACGTGAAGTTTATGTTGTAGTAACGATAACTGGCTATTAGAGGAAAGAAGCTCTTTAGGTTCTCGTCTAAGTAAGGAACTTATTCCCAGCAATGGCATCATGCAGATGAAATTGTCAAAATTGATGTAGATTTATGGGCCATCATCAATCCATCAACAATTAAAAAAAAAAAAAAATTGTATGATTGCATGACCAGGGCAAAAAAAAAAAAAAAACACCTTCAATTTATTTCATTGACAACTTCTATTGAGGGTTGGTGAAAAATACGAGCTCCTTTGTTGATTCAGATAGCTCTATAAGCCGAAACTCCTTTTTTTCACAAAGAAAAAGGCAAATTTCTCCTCATATCATTGATCCAAATGGATCATTAGCACCGAGTATTCAATCACTTTCCTTAAGATTAACATAACAGAGTAACAAAAGATTTTTCCTTAATCGAAGTTTGCACACAACGTTATCAGAATCGTTGAGCATAAGGGAAGTTATTTCCTACTAGGACGTCCAAGTACGTAACAAAATGGACTCGATTCTAAGATTTAACACATAGCAAAAAGAAGAACAGAGAAGAGATGGAGCCTTCACCGAGCGTGCGGGAAACGCCACAAGAGACAGACCGCTTGGCCAAGAATGGTTGCGTGGAAGATGCGAAGATTGACCCATTTGTTGCCGCCATGTTTCACACTTTCTTTCGCTATAGGAGGAGAGAAATGAAAATAGTTGAAGTTCAATGCACTAGCTGGACATGTTTATAGATAAAGAGGAAAGATGTGATATTTTTCAGTATATGTACGCGGGTTAAGAATTTGCAGATAGGGCAGAAGTTTTGGTGGCAAAACACCGAAAAATCTTGTAATAGAGACAAATAAAACGAAAGGGTTTATCTCAGAATCAAAAAATATCTGGACCTTATTTCTCCGACCTCATTCGTGAACACAACTCTTGGCCAAAACCCGTCGCGGGTTTCACCGCCTTATCTGTTTTTCCTAATTCCTATTATTTCTCTTTCCACTTTTCCCTCTCCTTCTCTTTAGCCCACATTTTAGTTCAAAATTTCAAGTTTAGCCCCCAATTCGACAAATAACAAGTCTCACAAGTGGTTTGAAGTCTTAAACTTTCATTTCACACAACGACATGCGCTGAGCATATAAATCGATCGCCTCATTAAAACACAATCCAGCAAACGACTTCAAGCCTCAAGGCCTCGTTTCTCGTTAGAACCTCAAATACAGAGACGAGAATAACACAGGCCTTTCCTTTTCGCCCATGGCTCTGATCACCTCACAGACCAAAAACCCCATTCTCCATAACTTTACCACCTTTCACCGCTCAATCCCCCGGCTAACTAATTCTGAGTCCTTCTCAAACAATGCTAGAGCCCTTAAAGTCTCGAACTTCAATTCAAATTCGAACAAACTTTCCCTGAGAACAAACCCCTTCAGAACGGTGCCGGTTATATCTGCCAATGCGGCATTGACAGAAGCATTGGAACCAGCAGAAGAAGGGAATGCAAAGTACAGGAGAATTCTGCTATCGGACGTAGAGGTGAAGAGAGAGAGACGAGTTTTCTTTGGGAGGAAATGGAATTCGTTGGATTTGGGCACTGCTGGTGTTGTATTGGCCATGCATATGCTTAGTCTCTTTGCACCGTTTTGTTTCAATTGGAGAGCTTTCTGGGTGGCCATGGCTCTGTATGTTGTGACGGGTCTCTTTGGCATCACGCTATCTTTCCACAGAAATCTTTCTCACCGGAGCTTCAAACTTCCCAAATGGCTTGAGTATCTCTTTGCGTATTGTGGGGTTCTCGCTCTTCAGGTAAATTCTGGTTCTTAAAAGCTCTCTTCTGATTTTTTTTTTTTTTTTCATATTTTGGTTTTGCAAGAAGTGTTTTCATTACCAAATGGTACCAAGGCATCTGACATAAGAAAACGAGGAGTTTGGCTATCAAAAATACTCTTTTTTATGTCAAATATTGCATTTCATAAATTTTAAAGATTTGAGCATATGATTTATGAGAGCAGAGCTTTTATAGCCTCGGATACTGAGTCTCATATTATCCATTTTGTTAGACTGTACTCCCGTTAGCATCTTGTTAGCAGATTATATTGAAACGAATTCAAGTTTTTGGAGGGGGAAGAAAAAAAAAACACAAGAATTGTCTTTGAAAGATGAACATGTGATATCTAAGCTCTGAGAGATGAAATAAAATTTACTCCTTTTCCTTTGGTGATTTTGATTGGTGTGCAGGGGAACCCAATTGATTGGGTGAGCACACATAGGTACCATCATCAATTTTGTGATTCAGAGAGAGACCCACACAGCCCCACAGAAGGATTCTGGTTCAGTCATATGAGCTGGTTATTTGATACCAAATCTGTGGTTGAGAGGGTACCTATGATCTATGAATCCCTGGTTTTGTATCCCATCACTTCTTAACAAGCGAAAATCACAGTTCATAACCTTGTTGCAAATGTTTTGGGATGTGTATGTGCAGTGTGGAGAACCAAACAATGTTGGAGATTTAGATAAACAGTACTTTTATAGATTCCTCCGAAGCACTTACATTTTGCACCCCCTTGCTTTGGGAGGGCTGCTTTATGCCATGGGAGGTTTTCCTTTCCTTGTTTGGGGAATGGTAAGGAAATCTCTTTTATTTTCTTCTTTATCATCCTGGGAATCAATCAAAGAGCCTCATTTTTTTTTTTAAAATAAAGAATGAACTGAAACTCACGCATATATATGGTATGACTGTTGCAGGGTATGAGAATTGTTTGGGTATACCACATCACTTGGCTAGTAAACTCAGCCTGCCATGTCTGGGGGAAGCAAGCCTGGAATACCAAGGACTTATCCAGAAATAATTGGTATACTTACTTTTACCCTCATTGAAAATTTCTCCCCTTTTTTACTCTTCCTGTCAAGTGTTTTTATCCTGCAATTACATGGTATCTTAGTATTATTACTATTGGGTCATGTTTGAGTATTATAAGGCCTAATTAGATAGCTTCCAGAAATAGTTTTTCATCTTGTTTCACAAAAATCAAGTTTCACTCAATCAACTTAATCAATGACGGTGTTACAATTTTCCCCCATGAAAATTCTGTTTTTCTGTCAGGTGTGTGTGTGTGTGTGTTAACTTACAGCCATGGTTGAGCAGTATCTGAAACAGAATTTCACCATGATGGAGCAGGTGGGTGGCAGTGCTAGCATTTGGGGAGGGATGGCACAATAACCACCATGCTTTTGAGTACTCTGCGAGACATGGCCTAGAATGGTGGCAAGTGGACATGACTTGGTACGCAGTGAGATTTCTGCAACTTATTGGCCTGGCCAGTGAAGTCAAGCTTCCTTCACAAGCGCACAGACTAAGAATGGCATTCAACAACTGACGCATTCATGGCACTCAACAATAGATTGATCAGCTCATAAGCGTTGCTTTCATCCCATGTCAATGAGTTAATATCATTGTTAGTCTTTATTGTCCGGTTAAATTTTGATTTTGGTCCCTATAATGTAGTATTTTTTGGTCTGAGTTTAATGAATGGTCTTGATACTTTTAATGAGTTATGATTTTGGTCCCTATACTTGAAATTCATACAAAGTCTTTATAAAACTATAAGGGCCAGAACCAACAATTTGAAACCACAGGTGCCAAAACCAAAATTAGATCAAATTGTAAGGACCCACAATGATATTACCCCTTGTCAATCAATCCTCAGTGTTGAATTTCAGTGCACTATTGCCCATTGTGGGTGGGACTAGCATGGCTCCACGCTACTAGAGAGATTTATACCCTGCTTGGTACATAAGAAAATAGTGGAATCCCTCTTTACTGTACACCAGAATGAAATAAATATGCAATATCTAAGAATGTTTGGTGCATGTGCGCACAAGAATGCAGTTCCACATGTTTCTGTCTTCTTATCACATCTTTTTTAATAATGGTCCACTTCTCTGTTCTTGCTCAGCTCATTTTCAGCAACGTGATAAAGCATAGTTAGGTGAAAGCCACGACGATGCTCCCTAATTCAAATTGGTCGTTGTTTGAAAACACGTTTGTGTGTGTTCAGTGGTTCTATCGTCATTCTCTAATCTCTATGAAGGTCTCTGTTCAGGAACAAAATTATAAAATATATATAATACAATACATTTATAATTGGCACGGCGTCTTGCCATTAATATAAAAATTAGATAACTAATTTGCAAATATTAAAAAAGTAATTAAGTTAGTTATTTATAATAAATATGTATCATTTGTGTTAAAATGTCCTTATTAATCATATGTATTAAAACTATTATTTTATAGAATCTTTAACATAGGCAATCATAATTATTTTGAGAAAAAATAAATAAATATAAGAAATAAAATAAAACAAAATCTTATATTTAAAATTAAATTAAATTTTGAACTAGCTCTTAAATAATGGTGTGGTATTAAATTACTTTCATGATTGAACTTGCCTTGCAAGGTACTTCAAAGCCTGTTATGTTGGGGCCCTTAAAATCTCTACTTCTTCGAAAGGAGGGGTAGTCATTCTCAAATCGTAAATATCAAACTTCTAATTATTTATTTAAGAGATAAGAGCTTATAAGTACTCACTTCAATCCAGGTTAGAAGTATTTTTTTTTTCTATAGTGATATTCCTGGAACTCATTTACTTTCTAGAAGCCTGCAATGAAATTTAATTTTTTTTTTAAAAAAAATTGCAATACTCTACAAAATCTTATCTCCAATATTACCACGACTAGCCACTCTTCTTTTATAAAATTTAAGAAATATTTATAAATAATGTAATTTTATAAATTATATACTCCTCCGGTCCTAAATATAAGATCTATTTTGTCGTATAATTTATACTACAAAATAGATCTTATATTCAAGACCGAAAGAGTATATAGTATGTATATATATATATATTGGTTAGATAGCTTGATCAAGCCATACATAAAAAGAGGTTGGCAATGACAAGTAGCTCTAATGGTAACAGCTCCCGCCACATTTGATGAGTTCTTAAATTTGAGTTTGACATTAACATGTTTTTTGTTTATTAAGATGATTATAGAATAATCTTAATTATAAAATAATATCATGCGATCTGATAAAAAAGAAAAGTAATATCATGATGATTTCACAATCATAACTCACTAAATAAAGATTAAATAAAACACTTGCTTAAGATATTTAAATACAGTCATGGCATAGCTGCCATATCATTCACTTCCACCTCATTGTGTTGTCACCATATTTAATTACAGTGACATTCACAAGCCATGCCTAATATATACGCCTCAAAGATGCTTTTCTTTTCCTTTTTCTCCCACCCAAAAAAACAAAAAACAAAAATACCGCATCCACCGTCCATTTTTTTTGTTTGATATTTGCACACCGTCCACTTTAATTATAGCCTGTCTAATTATTACATTACGAAAAATTAATCACTAGGTTCCTGTAATTTTAAATCAGTTGTAGCTTAGTTCCTAAACTTTACCTTAGAGCAATTCAAGTTCCTATAGTTTTGATTTAGTTAAAACTTAATTTTTAAACTTCGACTCGGTGCAATTCAGTTCATATAATTTTAATAATCTAAAACATTAGTCCATAAATTGTAGAAAATAAAATTATAAAGACTAGAGTTTTTTTTTTTAACTCAACAACCAATATTTAAAATAATTAAATTGCGGGCATTAAGTTGCACTAAGTCAAATTTTAAGAAATGAGTTAAAACTATAGAGATTACAATTGAAGCAAAGATCAAATAATCAATTTTCCCCTGTTATTATTATTTTATCCCTCTTGACATTGAATATTGATTCGTCTTTATCAACATGAGATTAGGGAGGTTGAAGGTCAATTTAAATATGAATCATGCTTACGGATGTTTTTAAACGTTTAATATTTACTACGCACGCAAATGTCGCTTTTGAAAAAGGACCTCAAAAAAACAAAAAGCTTCCTTAATTACCTACTCTACTTTTGTCAATTTCTAGTCAAATGGATTGCAAAAAAAAAAAAAAGGAATAGATTAGTTAATTATACCAAATGTGATATAATTTTAGTAAAAGATTTTTGCATAACATTAAATTATATATATAAGTTTATGAATCAGATAAACTGGTTCAAAAAAAAAATTAAAACATGAGACATAAAATTTATTAAAGTCTTATATTTAAGATTAGATCCCACTTTCAATTAATTATATTATAGAACAAAGACGATAATATAATTTATAGTTAACTAGATTGAGAATTTTTTTTTTTGGGGAAGGGAGACCGTAACCTCTTACTTATAAGAGTTTTTTTTCCCGGCCCCCGTTAAAACTTACCACTTTCGATCCTAATTATAAGAGTTAGTTGACTAATTTGAGGATATTAAGAAAAAAAAGTTAAGTTAGTTATTTGTAACAAATATGTGTTGTCTTTCCTACAATACTCTTGCTAATCAAGTATATTGGTTAGAACTACTATTGTTAGAATGATTACCTTGAAAAAAAATATATAAATATAAGAGACAAGTATATTGGGATCTTACATCTAGGATCAAAATAAAAATAAAAAAATCTTATATTAAAGACCGGATGTAATATAAAGCATTTGTATGCCACTAGATTATAAGAAGGGGATATCGGCAGAAATGTTGCATGAGATCTGGTGAAAGAAGCCTCTTCTATAATGATACAGACCAAACCTACATGTATGACTTTTCTTTGTCCCTTTTTTCTTTTTCCAAATTATATCATCCACAGTCCACTTTCTTTTTTGCAATCTGCGCACCGTCCTCCTTAATTAATAATTATGCCTTGCCTTTATTATTGTTGTTGTTGTTATTATACGCTGAAATATAAGTTTATCAAATTAAATTTAGTTCATAAGTTTTAAAGTGTGTATATATATTTTTTACTTTTAATATCATCAGTCTTATTTAATGAAATGCTGACAAATCATGTTTAAATTTTAAAAAATAAAAATAATTATATTAAAGATTTAAAATTCAAGACATGTTTTTCGCATTTGTTAAGTTAGCATTTTCTATTAAATAAGATTGTCAATTTTTAATATTAAAAAAATTAAAAGCACACCTCATAAATTTAAAAGACTAAATCTTTTTACCAAAAATTTAAGAGACTAAATTGAAACTATTAAAAAAAACGTGTACTTTACTCTCTTTTTTTCCCTTATACTTCTTTAATTCTTACTATAAGAATTACTTTACCAATTTGGATGAATAAGAAAACTGGATAAATTATTTAATTTTAATAAATATGACTTGATCTTTCTAAAATACTCCTATATAATATTAGATTATGTGTCAGTTTATAAATTAAATAAATCAGAGTAAGAAAAAACAATAAATATGAGAAATAGAATGTATTAATATTATATATATATTTAAAATCAAGACTAACTTTGCAACTAACTCTATGGGATTATTGAATATTGAATACTTTAGCCATCAGTCAAATAAGAGATTAGAGGTTGAAATCTAAACATGAATCACGTTTATGGGTCATTTTAAATTACTACCTCCCATCCATAATCTAAAAAGTAGATAATTAATTTGGAGTGGTTATCAAAATTAGTTAAATTAGTTATTTGTAATAAATATGTGTTGATCTCCTTGAATTACCCAATTTAACCATGTACATTAGAATTATTAGAATTATCCTTTGTTGAAAACCTCTTATAATTAATAGAGATATTTTAAAAAAAAATAAATTAGAAAAACAAAACGAGTTAAAATTTTATATTTAATCATGTTAATAATGTATATTAGACTTGTTAGAATTTCCCCAAACGCTGATCTCACACGGGTCAAAAAGTCTTCCTTGCATACTTTTATCAGTTTCATTTGCAGGTCAGCAAAAATATCAAGTTTCAGTTTCCCACAGGGCACGTGCCTCCACGTGACCATGCCAGACTCTGACTTGCTTCGCTCTAGCGACGATCCACTATATCCACCAGGGTTAGTCTTTAAGTTAATAGAGTACTTACAATCGCTCTTTAATAAAATTTTCATATTGATAACGAGATTTAAATTTATAACTTTATGAATTATGAACTGACTTATTCTCAAATAGACTAATTTTTATTGGCATATCTTTTAAAACTCAAAACTTTTGTTTTCAGCTTTGCCAACCCATATAAAAACAATGAATCAAAATGAAATTATTCTTTCAATAAATTTAGGGTAAATTGAAAAAAATGTTAATTACTCCTCTGATTCTTAATATAAGACCCATTTAACTAATTTGATTAGATTAAAAAAATTAGGTAAGTTAGTTAATTATAAAAAATGTGACACGTTTTTCCTAAAATACCATAATCATCTTTCTTAATACCCAATCTTCCTCTTCTACTTAATTATAGTTGAGGGAGTATCCATAGGAGTAATTTAGAGAAAATTGATAAATATGAGAAATGGTTCTTATATTTAGAACCAAAACAAACTCAACAATTGGGTCCTATATTAAAGACCGGAAGAATATTAATTTTCTATGTGACTTTTCCATGAATTAATTCTAAAATACACACTATAATACGCACTAAAGGGAGTATATATAATTATTAAACACATCCTGCAAATCCAAGGTTAATTAATGAGCTCATGCCATTATAATTGAAATTCACACACCCACACACACATCTTGATTCTTGGATTAAATTTACAGTCACCACTTAACTAAAGTACGTATACTAACACTTCTTTTAATGAGAACGAAGAAAAAGAATGACTCTCAAAGTGGAACACAAAATTCAGGGAAAAAAAATAAAAAAGGCAAATTTGAAAACATAGACATATTAGGCACAAACACTTTAGGAAACAAAAAAGAACAAAACCAACCTTGAGCATCGAGAAGCACCAAATGATTCATTATTACTACTCTTCAACTTTAACAGAAGAATTACCATGCTCTCTCTAATCACCTCGAGGTTCCACCAAAAATTATATTTAATTATATGCGACATAACAACATTTGGAATTTCGAAGCCATCGGATAATGTAAAACAAAAACACAAACAACTATATTTATTATTAATTATTAATCACACACAAAGCCACTCACAAAAGGCATTACTTAGCTTGTTTGTAATATAATAATATAGAATAGAATAGTAGCCACGGTAAATATGCACGGGAGAATATTTAAAAAGCACAATCATGAAACCTAGCTCTCTCTGCGGTTTATTGTTTTTAGTTTCAAACATTGGTATATTCAAACTATCTAGCTAGCTACGTTGTTCTAAAATAATGATAATAATAATTTTATTATTATTACTACTGTATATGCACACATTCACATGACTTATTGATTATGATAATCATGGGTGAAAAGGCAATTAATTAATTTTGTTGGGAAAATTTGAGAGATAATAATAAGTATGGGACTACAGGGTGTGAGCATGAGTGGTTCAGTTCCCATACGAAGACTGCCAAAAGTTGGGTGCTATATTATTTATCTGACACTGCATAATAATGCATAAATAATACAAAGACAGTAATTATTATGTTAAGCAGAGAAATTGCATGCTTACGTCATTCCAAAGCATGCCTTTCAAGCAACAATTTCGAGGTGTCCATAAAAATAAAGAACTTAGTCCTATATGTTACTCCCTCCGTTCCTTATTATAAGAGACGAATAACCGAATTACGTTGATCAAAAAAACAGTTAAAATTAGTTAAGAACAATCAATGTGTAAAAAGTATAATCTTTTTTCCAAAAATGCCCTAATTAATAAGGAGAGAGAGCATGAGAGAGAACAATTAAATTATTAAAAGAAAGAGAAGTGAGAAAGAGAGAGAGAGTGAGTTGGAGACAATAAATATAGGTAAAATAGGAAATCAACACAAAAAAGTAGAGACAACTTTTAAGTGTCTCTTATATATAGGAACATGCCATAAGCATCAAATGTCTCTTATAATAAGGAACGGAGGGAGTATTAATTAATTATTAACATGCCACCATATATTATAATCCAATCGTGTTACTATTGTTTAAAGGTTAAATTATCGGTTAACCCATAACTGCTTTTCATACTTTGTACGGTTAAAGTGTGTTTTTAAACTCTCTCTCTCTCTCTCTCTCTCTCTCTCTCTCTCTCTCTCTCACACACACACACACACACACACACACACGCACACGCACACACACATGTATCCTGCGTCTCTCAAATTGATGATGAATAGGAAAACAATGCTATTCGATTCATTTTCCCATGATGGTGTATATATAATTAATCTTGAATTTTAAACTGAAAACTTTTATTTTGAATACGTGCGAAACAACCTGGTAAGATTTTTAATATTTTGTGGTCTTTGTTGATTATTTGAGGATTACTATTATTTTGCTTAATTATTCTAGCGATGTACAAATCAAATTTTACATATGGAAAATGGCAGTTTTTTCAAAGAACTTGTTACGACAAATAACAGCATTGAAATAGAACTCTACCATGCATCCATAGTTTATGAAATTGAGTAAAGATACATCCGATCTTATTTTTTAATTATATTCAGCACTCTGATCTTAAAGCTTTTGTATATAGTATTCTAGTAATATTTTTGGTACATCTAACATTTTAATCTTATTTTTAATACATCCAGTACTCTAAAGATGAGGATACTGAATGTAACTAAAAACAATAACATTGGAGCGCCTTATGTATTGGGAAAATAAGATTAAAATGCTTAATGCACTCGGGAAATAAAATCAGAAAATGCTAAATGCATCTTTACCCTATCAAATTTCCATTGAAGATAAATTAGGACTAGTCCAATGCAAGCAAAATCAAGCCTTAATGCTACTTGTTAATATAGAATTTAAATGGGGTGGCATGCATAAGTCTCAAGCAAAATTAAACTTTGATGTCACTTGTTGGGAAAGTAGACAAAACTAAAAATATTGTGTTACTCATAAGAAGAAAAATATAAGTGAGTTCCACACTATACTTCAATCTAATAAAACTTAAAAATCCAAGTTTTTGTTTCCATCTTTTCACTAACACATACACCATTGCTCCCTCATATCTTGCAGTCATGCTTTTTAAAAGAAACTGATGTCTGTCTCGCGTATAAATAACTCGTCGGGTCGTTAATTAACGCTTTTTGAAATATTTCCCATTAAAATTCATTTAGAGGAGACGTGAAGTTGTGTGTTTTTCTATATTATTTAAGGTTAGAACTGAGAAAAAAGTTATTTTCAAAGAAAATTTATGACTCAACTACTTTTTCTTAACTTCAAATCAGAAGTGATTTATAATAAGTATAAGAAAAATATACATAACGTGTGTGTATATCATTAACTTAATTTTGTGCGATGTGAGATTTCGTATATCTTAACATACCCACAATTACAGTTTTAACAAATGCCAATTAATTAAGTTTTTTCCTATGGGAAACTATCACTATGGTCCTAAATATAAGTTACTTATAACACATTCTCGCATGCTAAGAAATGCATTAAATTGTCCAAAATTTTCAATTATTTTCTTATTAAAGTTTTATATTTCTACATTTAGGAATCATTCTCAAATCTCTTCTTTCTTTCTCTCTTTCCTATAAGAATTGACTAAGAATGAAATTGAAAATAAGCATTAAATATACCACAGGTGATTTATATTTATAATCAAAAATTTTCTTCTTAAATGACTTGCACTTTAAGATCATACCTGTATGAGGATAATGATTTACTAGTAATTTGCAACTAGAAGATGACCGTTAAATTAATATGAGCAGAAAGAACCTATAATTTAGAGCTTCATCATGCTCGGGTCTGAATGAGGATGAATGGTAGAATGGAGGAGAGTAGCCCATGATTTTTGCCCTCAGAAAAGGCTGGCTGATTTCAGAACTTCATTTTCCCCGAGAAAGACAAATAATAAAGCACCAAAAGCTTCTGAATGAAGCAGCCAGGTGGTCAGGTGAAGCCAACAACTTTTCATCCCTCCGCCTGTCATACTCTTACACACCCTTGTTTATTGGGCGGTCCATCCCAAACTTTTTTTTTCCCTTTTTTTAAAAAATCTCAATACAGCTTTAAAAGTGTTAAAAGAAATTAACGCTGTAGAAGGAGTAATATTTTCTTAAACATTTTAAGGATAACACTGTTATCGGTCTTAATTATAAAATTTTTGTACAAAATTTTATAATTAAGACCGGAGATAATATTAAACTAAGAAAGCTTTTAAGTATCTAAGGCAGTGAACAAATCAAAGGAGAAGAAGAGCTAAGCTAAGGCAGTAGTAAATGAAATGAAAGTGAAGGAGGACGGTAATAAATTAATGGAGGAGGTAGGGCACGCGAGATGACCGGGTACGGGAACAGCAGGTGAGGAAGGTCTCAGCTATGGGGTGAGGTCGTAGAATGGCCCGGTAGATACCCCGCATTCACCTCGGTAATCAAACCCCACAACACACCCCCTTCCTCCCCTCCCCTCCCCTGCACGCCTTTCCACTCTCTTATTCTTCTGCACTTTTCTTCTTCTCCAGTACTTGTCACCCTCCTTGGTATTTGTTCCTTTCCCTATTCCTCCTCCTTCCATTCTCATTCCTCAGTCACTCTCTCTCTCTCTCTCTCCTCTCTCTGTCTCTCTCTTTAAATACCCCATCAGGCCTCACCTAGCTTGCTATTACAACCTTATCAGCATTCCCTCGACATACAACAAAAGAAAGCTCGAAACCAATAACGAGAAAGCTAAGCCACTCTCTGTGTCTGTCTGCTGCTTTCTTCGTTCGCATTGTCACATTCCATTTGGTCTCAGAGCTTCATCACATTGGCTATACTGTGGTTTGTGAGGTTAGTGAAGAGTGTGTCAAAACGGGTCTCCCACTGTGGATGCTTGGGCTCGGCGCGGACCGACTGTGGGCCGACATGAACCGCCTCCTCGCCTTCCTCTTCCACCAGGTCTCACAACAACCTTAATTACATAACCCGTTCCTTAACGTTGTCAGTTTTCAGTTCTAGCTCATCAAACAACGCACGAACGTCATGGTTAACAGTTTCAACAAAGACGAAGTTACGCGCTTCATATGAATATATAATGATTCGTTCATTTAAGAATATTAAAATTGTTGTTATAACGGTGCAGGGAGTTCTGGACGAGCAATTCCTGCAGCTTCAGCAGCTTCAGGACGAGTCTTCTCCAAACTTCGTGTCCGAGGTTGTCAACATTTACTTCCACGAGTCCGAGAAGCTTCTCCGAAACCTCAGATCATTGCTGTATGTCTATATACATAGATATATATAAATATATGTCCATTCCCATCTGTTTCTTCTCTAACTTATGACGATGCTAATAACGAAAATGGGTGCAGAACGGATAGGGAGCTGTCGGACTACAAGAAAATGGGAATCCATGTGAACCAGTTGATGGGAAGCAGTTCAAGTATTGGCGCCAACAGAGTTCGAAACGTCTGCGTCGCGTTTCGTGCTGCCACTGACCAGAACAACCGTGCCGGGCACGTGCCTCCCACTTTCTTCTTCATTAGTCTCCCACTTATATAAAGTTTAGGGTCTTTCTTCTTACTTTGCAGTACTGTGTCTGCTTCATTTCAGATGCCTGCGAGCTTTGGAGATGCTAGAACACGAGTACTGCTATCTCAAGAACAAATTACACGAACTTTTCCAAGTACTCTTTTACACTGCCCTATTATTATTATTATTATTCCTCAAACAACTCGTACTTTGTATTACTTTATATTATTCATTAATTATTAATATGTAATTATATAATGATGCAGATAGAGCAAGAACGTGCTTTGGCAGCAGGAGTGAGGTACCCAGCGCAGAATTAAAGAGGGCCGGGGTGAATGAAAGAGAAAGAGGAAAGGACGATGAATCAGATAGAGATGGGAAGGAATATGGTTTTGCGGTTGTAGTGATTGTATGTAAGGCTAGGGTTTGCCTTTCTGGTTGAAAATCAAAAGCCTCTTTTGTACTTTGTTAGTGCTGAGGTGGTCAGTGACGGATGGCTCTGGGGTTTTGTTCTTGGAATTTAGGTACTAGATAGTGTACGTACGTAGTGGCATAATTAATCATGTTTCTTCATGATAGTTGTATGAAATATTACCTCAATGTTGTGGTGGGAAGTTGGCAGAAAGAAACGTGCTTATAATATATTCTCATGTTTACGTTTGAATATGTCAGTGCCTCTCTCACAGTTGGATACATATACATGCACACACATATATATATATATGTATTGAATGCCAAAACTGGCTTACTTGCATCATTCTAAGCAGCTAGTACTGCAGAGCTAGCTAGCTAAGGCAAGGGTTTTCTGTTGTTCTCGTTTTCAGTACAATGTGACGACGCATGAAATAACATCACTTTTATTACAGTATTTATAGCTCTGTGGTCAGTGTCTGTCCAACTTTTTTCAGTACACAAGAGAAACACTGTTGGTTCTTTTTATTATGGGATTTATTATTTTATTTATTCATTAATTTGATGAGGAAAAGGAGGCATTTGATGGTTGAGAGTCAAATTGGGGAAAGGCCAAAACGAGAGAGAGAGTACATGTGTTTTCCAACTGTGATCACTGCAACAAGACTGAAAACCAGCGGGGGGTCCAACTCACATACAGTAACATTCCGCAACCATGGCACTAGATACCATAGATCCTACAACTCTGCTTTCACCCCAACCATTCCAAAGCTCCTTGCCTCTAGATTTTAATTCTATCATATTATATTATAATAAAACCAAAATTTAGTAGTACGAAAACATTCTTATGAAGTCATATCTCACAAGAAAGGAGTTATACATTTTTTTTCCTTAAAAAAATTTAGGTGACTTGAGTTTCAATAATTTGTTAGAGTTAGAGCATATTTTGATTCTCAGAAAACACTTACAAAGATATATACAAATCTCTTATGAATAAGATCCTTACATTGGTAGTATTATTCGACCTCATCATAACTTTACTGATTATTAACCGATTTGTTACTAACTAAATCAATTTTTTTATCACATGACTAAATCAATTTTTGTTGGTAAAAAAAAGTTATAAATCTGGTCATACATTAAACACAAATTATTAGTATTTGTACTTCTAATTCAAAAAAAAAAGTCCATATTTTTGGAAAAGAATTATGAGAATAAAATTGAACCATTCATTTTCCTAAAAAGAATAACCTTTCATGACTGTCAATAATATATTTGTGCTGAAGATTATTCTATATTAACTAGATAATGTTCGATGAAAACAAAAGCTATTACCTCCAATTCTTAATAAAAAAAGTAGTTCAAGATTGTATTTGGTCTTAAACACAAGACCTTAATTCACTAGTTTGTCTTCCAAAATTATAATTTTTACTTCAAAATATCTCTGTTGATTGTAAGGATTCTTACCTAAAGATAATTTTAATGCGTGTGATTGAAAAGGAAAGTTTAGAAAAATCTACATATATTTGATATAAATAACCAACTTAAGTAATTTCTTTAATATTTCATAATTGGTTATATAAATCCTATATTAAGAAGAGGAGGTAGTGCTAGATTATAATCAATGTACTCCATCCAATCATATTTATAAGTTTCAAATTTGGGAAAGGGTGTAGTCTATTTTATAAATTTCAATTTAGGTTTGTCTTAACATTTAATTTTTTTTTTTTAATGTTGCCTTTAATTATTTCTCTCTTGCCACATTTTTCCACACATTTTCTTTTATCCTTTTTCTCATTTGCTATAAGGGCATATTTGAACATAAAAGTATATTTCTAATCTTTTTATTATTTGAACTAATTTTAACTAGTTGTTTGTTATCCGTAAATTAGTTATTTAAACTATAATAAGGACAAGCATAACAAACTACATATATGTTACTCTCTGGTTTTATTTATAAGTCACTTCTAACATATTTCACATAGACAAAAAAAAATCTTAAACTTCATTAATTCTCATTTAAAATTCAACTTTTCAACTTTAACCCTATTTAATATACAAGGTAAAATTATATATCTATACAAAAAATTTCTTTCAGTGCCCTATAAATAGGAGTAAAAAAAGTCTTCTCTTTTTGCTCTATAAATAGGACCAAAGAGTACATTTTTCATGGGTAAACTTTTGTGCATATATAACGGACCTTTTTACATTTCATATATAACAAGTAAAAATTTTACGAAGAATCCCATATAAATACTATTTGAATTTTAAAATGACAAATTAGTCATTCTAATTTTATAAAGAACAAATAAGTCTATATGTATTCATTTGGGATTTGTAATTTTTGACAATTTACCTACATGTCCTTTCTTTCATTCCCTTTTTATCAGATCAAAGAGAGTTCTTCTTTCTCTCTTTAGGTTCTTTTCTCTCTCCCTCGCAATGTTTCCGACGTCCTTCTCTTTAAGAACAATTACAAACCCTCTCCTCACTTCCAAATCGTCCCTCTCCAAACTTCCAACTCCAATTCACTTGTTTAGGGTTCCTCCAAACTTCCAACTTCCAAAATTATTTTAAATTACCTCTACGTTCCTCATGTTACAATTCTTCAATCATACAATGGGCTACTTCTCTATTTCTCTAGCTTTCTCATGTCGCTTGAAGAACACATATTTGTATCATGAGGTTTCTCATTCCTCATTTAAATATATATGATGTAATTGTTCTCAGAAGGCTACTGGCTTTTGATAAATATCATTATTTTAATGGTCAATTATATTACAAATGTAGTAAATCATGAAAGTTATTATTAACATGTTTATTATGACATGCCTTAGGTGTACTTATCTACTATCTACTAACTTCTCAAAACGTTAACCCCATTGTTTAATTCTCCCAAAAGGTTATACTTGGTGGAAATTGATCAAGTTAATAGTATAAAAATAGTCAAATATATTTTTCAAGTTGTCAGTCACGTTACATGTCTAGTCAATTTGTCTAATAGCCCTCTAAAAAATTACACCAAATCTGAAAATGACTAATAACATGTTGCAAAACATGTTATGAAAATAGTCATATGCATTGTATAAGTTGTTAATTACGTTACACATTTAGTAAAATTGTATAAAAATGATTAGTAATAAGTTGCAAAATATATTATGGAGATAGTCAATTTCACTTCACAAGTTGTCAATCACATTACATGTTTACTAAAATTGTCTAGAAATTGCTAATAACAGGCTGCAAAACACATTATAGAATAGTTAAATTCATTTTGCAAATTGTTAATCATGTTCCTTATTTAGTAACATTATTTGAAAATGGCTAATAACAAGGTGCAAAATATGTCATAGACATGGACAAATTTATTTCACAAGTTGTGAATCATGCTACATATTTAATAAAATTGTTTGGAAATGGTTAATAATAGGTTGGGAAATATATTATGAAAATAGGTACTTTTATTTCACAATTGATCAGTCACGTTACATGTTTAGTAATTTTGTTCAACTTAATTCCCTGACTTTTTCCTAGTCTGTAAATGGCTAATACCAAATTGTAAAACACGTTGTGAAAATAGTTAAGTTCAATTTGAAAGTTGTCAATCACTTTACAAAACATATTGATGCTTTTCATTTTATGTAGTGGCAGTTTAGTCTTTTTACCAAACTTTGCAAATCCCAAATTCCTACCTCATGCCCATTTGGTCCTTTCACTTATTTACATGACCTATTTGTCTTTTTAAATTTCAAAAGGTATTTTTGGGTCATTTTCCCAAAATTTCACTTGGTTTGGGTAATGGTATTAAATTTAGGAGTATGCAAGATTTATTTCATGAATAGTACAGTTTGTAATTTATAGATGACGATGTGTTGCAAAGAAATTATAAATGTTGATCTTTTTTGCCAACATTATAAATATGGATACTATTTTTTTTGTAAATTTATATAGCATATCAATATATTAACATCAATAAATTAAATAATCAAGTAAATTCAATTATATTGAGCTCAAAAATTTTTTTACAAAAATTAATGTTGAGCTATAAATGATAAAATGTAGCAAATTTTTATTGTCAATAAATATTTTACTTGCCTCATAAAAAAACAAATTTACTTGGAGTATCTTAATTAATTTCGACGGATTAAATTTCACCAAGAAGAGTAATATATGTGCAAAGTAGCTTAATTAATTAAATGGCGACAAGACAAGGCATACCTTTTATGGAAAAATGTGAATATGTATTTGAGAATTTTACTTCTTTATATTCCTTTTATTCATATGATCCATGTATATGAAATGATAATAAACTTATGATTAGGTACCCATTCACAAGTTAGTGCGGGTAAAATTAATATGGCCCTGTTTAGCCCATAAAAATTAATATGGGTCGACTAGACCCATCTGGTTTGGCCCATCATGAAACAGGAAATTAAAAACGGCCAGCCTCCTACCTTTAGGTATATTAAATTATTGGTGATTAATTACATATAAATAAAATACACTGCTTTTACTTCTTAATATAAAAGCTTATTAGATATTTTAATACTGATTTTACAGTGGTGCAATTTTGACCCTTTTTTTTTTTTTGGCAATTTTGATCCCGAGAGGCAAAATTGCACCTAATGATCAAGTACAAAATTATACAAAAAAAAGGAGATTAGAGACAAAATTATACCTAAAAAATAAGATCAAGGGCAAAATTATATTATTGAAAGATTAGAGACAAAATTGCATCTGAGAAATTAAATCAAAGTTAAAATTGCATCTTAACCGCATTTAATATGCTCGTAAATATAAGATCTTAATTCACTTTATCTCATATATTTATTCATCCCCCAAAATAGCCCTTATGATGATTGCATATGTTAGCATGTTTTTATTTTAATGCACATGATTAATCAGAGTTTTTTTTTTAGGGAAAACAACACTCATTTATTATAAATAACTAACTTAATTAATTTTTTTAATATTCATAAATAAGTTATCTAGCTCTTTTTTTTTTTTGTTAAAGCAAAGGTATCCTCTTATTAGAGGTAATCCTATTCGAGACACTGTCGGGCACTAAATTTGGACACTTCTTCTAGCAGGGATTCGAACCTTGGTTCGTCACGTTGTGAGGGACTAGCCCCTTCCGCTAGACCTAACCCCCGTTAGTATCTAGCTCTTATATTAAGGACGACAAGTAGCAGTGTAAATTAAATTGGGCCACTTTGACCTACTTGGGTTGGACTCTTATGAGCGAGGGATAAACTGGGCTAGACTATGAGTCTACTAGTTTTTGTTTATTAATAGTTAATTACTTAATTATATGCTATAAAAAAATTTTGTTTTCCACCAAAGAAAAGTAATGTTATTTATTTAAAAAAAGGGGTCAAATATATAGTTAAACCAGCCAACCCACTTAACCAAAGAAAATTCTTTTATACAGAAGATTGCAGAAAGTAGAATGCCAAAGATCAAAATACATGATTAATTGATTTGCATGAAGGGAGTCGTGAGCTGCCTGTATCCCAAATTAAAGTTACTTTTATGGGAGTGATTGATTATATAATTGAAAGATGTGGGACAACGTTATTATTATATATAATTATCTCACTTTTCTTAATCATGGCCATGCGTAATAATTAAATTAAGGGAACAAGGACCACATTTAATCACAAGAAGCATATTATTCCTCACAAACCGACGGACTAGTCAAAGCTGGAAAAGTCATCAGTATACATATCCACAATAATATCAGATTATTTTGTAAAAAAGAAAAAAGAGAATCAATCATATCAAATAATAATATATTCCACATTACGTGCTTTACTCTTTATGCCATTTGCCTTTTCTACCCCTAAAATTTTTTAGTTAGACTTGTACATTACAACGTCTGATTTTAAATATAAGATTTAGTTTCTACCGCAATTTATACTATAAATTAAATCTTATATTTATAATAGGAGGTAACAATCACATGTATACTGAAAGGCTTCCTGCTCATAAGTGCAGATCAATGCATGCATACACATACATATTTTATATACACACATATATATAAGATAATTGGTGAAGTCTTCCTAGTATAATTATAAATCCGTTATTGCATGGTTACTAGCATTACTCAACATTCTATTAACCTTTTTATATTTATTTTTTTGCCTGAACCTTTTTATATTTATTTAGACAATATTTATATCAAGTTACTCATATCTATTATATTAAGTTTTTCAGTCATATATAATCATGTGTCATATTTTTAAAATATTAGTATTTAATAGCATTTAATTATAAATCTATATAAAACAAAAAAGAACACAGTTTATATATGTTGAGATAATTTGATATAATGAATATATTAATAGAAGTAACTTGACTTGAGTTTCTTTTCTTTTTATTTTTTTATAATTTAGTGAGACTTATATATACTAGAATATATATTTATATTTGTTACATGTAAAACGAAATCCTTCCAACCCTTGAGTGCAAATTAATGCATGCATACATACATACCATATATACATATAGGCGCATATATATATATATATATATAGTTATATATTGAGGATAAAAATTGGTAGTCTTCCGACATGCACTAACATAATTATAAATACATTATTGCATGGTTTGGTCGCCTTTTTTATTTTTATTTCTTTTTAAAAAATCTAGTGAGACTTACATGTTAGAATATGTTTATATTTATCACATGTGTAACGAAAGTTTCCAACCCTTGAGTGCAGACCAATGGATACACACATATATACTACTTTTAATCTTTAATATAAGAGTTAGTTTCACATTCAATTTGATTCTAAATATAAGATTATAATTTATTTTGTTTATCATACTTATATATTTTTTAAAAATAGTCCTTATAATAGTTACATATATAAATATTTCATCGAATGGTAGTTCTAACTAATACATATGATTAATAAAGATATTTTAGAGAAAATAAGACATATTTGCTATAAATAACTAACTAACAAACTTTTTTAATCTACTCAAACTAATAAATTAGCTCTTATATTAAGAAACGGAGATAGTATGTATATATATAATTATGTATATCTATATATAATATTGAGGATAAAAAAATTGGTAAAGTCTTCCCACATGCACTAGCATATATAATTAATATGCTACTATTTATATTTGCCACGTGTAGTATAACGAAGGAGAATACCGGAAAAGAAAAACAAGTAGTACCATTTTCGGTTTTTAATATAAGATTCAATTAATTAATTTGAAAAGATTAAAAAAGTTAAATAAATTTACCACTTTTTTTTCAAACTAATTTTTCTGACTAATAAATTGACATATAATTTAATGATACATATTAGTATTTTAGAGAGATCATGTAACATATATTATGATTAAGTAATATTTTAGTTTCCTTAATTTTTTCAAATTAATCAATTAAGTCTTATATATTAAGGACTGAAGGAGGTGTACAAGGACCGTCATTGACCTAGTAATGAAATTATATTACTACCTTTGGTTCTTAATATAAGATCTACTTGATTGACTTGAGTAGATTAAAAAAAGTTTGTTAAGTTAATTATTTGTAATAAATAAGTGTTGTCTCTCCTAGAATACCATTGCTAATCATATTTATTAGTTAGAACTACCATATGATGAAACCTTTAAAATGTGTGACTACTATAAAGATTTTTTTTTAAAGGATAAATATGAGAGATAAAGTGAATTTTGGTATTATATTTAGGACCAAATTGAATATCAAATTAGCTCTCATATTAAGGACATGAAGTAGTAATATTTATTATTCTAAAACATACCCGAGGAGGAGGAAGTTTTTTAATTAAAGTTTCTTTTTTATCTTAATCAGCTTATGCATTTATTCGTTAAAATAATAGTCAGTTAAAGAATTTTCTTTCATTTTATTGAATCGTATTTATGTTATTAAAATAAAACTTTAGAAAAATTTATTTCAAATTTTTATAAACATATAAAATGAAACATTCGAAGAGATCCTAATACTAAGATATGAACATATGAACATATAATGAATAAAGTAACTCTTAGAAGTTATGAATAACATATATCAACAAGTGTCCAGTGTCTGTGTGTCTGTCTTTTTTTCAAAGTTTATACACAAAATACGTCAAGACTCCTATAAAAGTTAATTAGGAGTTAAATTATTTGATTTTAAATATAAGACATTAATAATCTACTTTATTATCCCATATTTATTATTGTTTTCTTAAACTATCTCTATTTCTTATCAATTGTATATGTTAAGAGAGTTTGTAGTAAGGGATGGGTTCAATGCAAATAATTTAAGAGTTCGTTTTAAAAAAATTAATACATATTTTTACAAATAACTAATTTAGTTAATTTATTTAATCCACACAAATTAGTTGAGAAAATCTTATATTAAGCACTGAATATAGTGTTATATATAAAGTTTTAAATAAATTACAATACTTGTAGATAATGAATAGCATAACTCATTTATATATCTAATTTCTTTTTTTTTTGGCCAATATATTTCTAATTTCACATAACGCATATAAATTCACACTAATTTGATAAAAACTTAAGTGTAATATGATCATGCGCAACGTAGCTAACAAATAATTGCGTTTAGCTTGACGAGTGGCAGCCTAATATTGCCACCCTTAGATTTTACCTAATTTGGTAAACCAACCACACTCTAGTTGCTTTATATATGTGTTTTGTACCATACGATATGATTAAAAATTCCAAGGGAAGTTATATGATGATATGGCTTTAAATCTCTATACTCCATCGTCCAATTCTTAATACAATCTAGTTTATAATTAAATTAGAATTTCTTTTCATTTTAAACTTAGAATTATACACCTAATTTATATACTTATTGACGATAAATGCATGCTTATTTCATTAAAATATTTTTTAATAATTATTCATGGATGAAAATCCTTGTATAACGCAAAGAAAAATAAATAAATTTAAAATAGGGAAAATTAATCTTTTGGTTCTTATAGTTTTCAATCATTTGTAACTCAATTCTTATATTTTGACTCGGTGCAATTCAATTCCTATAATTTTGATTCGATTGTAATTTAAATCTTAAAGTTTGACTTGCTGTAACTTGGTCTCTTTATTTTTAACCATTTTATAATTTAGTTCCCTTTTTACTATACATGTAATTTTTTTTTTTAAAATAAAGACTAAATTATAAAATAGATAACATTATAGGAATCGAATTGCAGTAAATTAAACTTTAGGAACTAAGTTATAAAAGAATCAAAACAACAAAGATTGAGTTGTATTGAGTCAAATTTATAAGGATAAAAATTAATTTTTTTAAAAAAAAAAGCCAGTATTTAAAATGCGTTCGGTAATCTTTCCAAATGCATACACGGTAACTCTTTGAAGTGACATGAAGCCATTTGTGAAATTTGTCAGCGTCAACGTCAAAATTGTGGGGGATAGCTACCGTTGGCAACTACTTCATATAACCTGCCATTTCCTTTTTGAGCCCACTTGCCTTTTCCCTTGCCCCATCCCTTCACGCCCATTTCATACGCACACGCTTGCTCCCAGCCACCCCACTCTCATCTTCTTCCTTCCTCCTCTCCCCCCTCTATATATTCCTTTCCCCGCCTTCCTCTACTTTGTCAGCCCACTCCTCTGCTCTCAATTCTTCTCCACTACTCTCAGCTATGAAAGAGTCCTTTGTTGTCCAAGACTCCTACGTCTTCAAAGAAGAAACCCTCCTCACCGTTCTCAAGACCTCTCTCTTCTTCGCCGGCGACGGCTTCACCGTCTACGATTCTCACGGCCAGCTTGTCTTCCGGGTGGACACTTACGGACCCGACGCCCGTGATAAGGACGAGCTCGTCCTCATGGATCCTCACGGCCTCTGCCTCCTCACCGTTCGCCGGAAGGTAACCATACATACACCATCCTTCATTCCTGAGATTCATCCCCCCGGCCCCAATCTCACATCAAAACGCTGATGTTTCATTCTCATGGTTCCATACTTGAATTGAACTTCTACTGCTGGTTCACTGTAATTAGTTGTTTTGTCATGTCAATTGTTCTCTTCAACAGTTATAATTGGATAAATTGTTTTGTCCTTGTGAAACAGAGGCCGAGCCTGCATCAACGGTGGGAAGGGTACAAGGGGGAGAGGATGGACGGCGACAAGCCGATCTTCAGCGTGAAGAGATCATCGATCATCGGGCGGGCACGAGCGAGCGTGACGGTGGAGTTGTACGACGACAACAGCGGCGGAGAAGAGCAGCAATACTACCAGATCGAAGGTTGCTTCCCGCAGAGAAACTGTACGGTGTACAATGCGACGAAGGAATCCATGGCGGAGATCCGACGAAAGGTGGATCAGACAACGAGCGTGATGCTGGGGAAGGAAGTGTTCACGCTTTGCGTGAAGCCGGGGTTTGATGGAGCCTTCGCCATGGGATTGGTCCTCGTTCTGGATCAGATCAACGGCGACGATTACGTGGACAATGGAACAGAGCCTACGGTGCACCCCACCGCGGAGGATTAAAACCGTAAGCTTATCCCTGTACACGATTACTATTATGATCCCACTGAAGAAGTGTCCCTCTGGAAGGGAACCTAGTGCGCCCTTTTTTACAGGCTCATGTGCCCTTAAAATAATAATTGTACTTTGTAATGCAAGTCATTTGAGAGTGGCTTTGTGTAAATTATTTATTAATATTTGATAAAGTTAAAAGGTTAGCTTTTGATTAGTTTAAATGAAGACTTCTCATGAACGGCCAAGTGACTTGCACAAGGGGGTATATATAAAATATGTGTCATTTTAAAATTCATGTCGGCCTTGTGATTTAGATTTTGAGTGAAGGTTCTCCTGCCTTTCTTTTCCTCCAAAAATCCAAAGAAAACAAAAAAAATATATTACTTTTTAAATATACGGTTCATTTTGTATAGTAATTTGGAAGTGCTATTATTTTGCTTTTACTCACAAGTCACAATCAAAGGGGAACGAATTAACTAGAAGGATTTGTGAACTAAATCCTAACGCTAATGCCCTTCCCGCCGACGAAGACCTCAGCGAGCATATGGTGGGTGTGTCCTTATTTTCATCCTTCTATTAGTCTCTTTCTAATCTTTCATGAAAATTGGTGGTCATTATCTTTTAGGAGGTATTTGAATAGAAATCAAATTATGATTTTAAAAGTGTTTTTACGGTTTACAAAATAAATATGTGAAAAAATTTGTTTCGTTTTGTTGTTAAACACCCTCTTAGTCCATTTTATTTCCTATCATCTCATTGTATTCCATTTGTATTCTTTCCAACAACCTAACGTGCCATTGCTTTTCTAATCATTTTATTGCCATCCCCTAATTCTCTACATCATCTTGAACTTGAAAATAATCCATGTCGAGTTACGAGTATCAAGATTAAAATTGTCCTAATAAATATATTTCTCGATATTTAAATTTGTATTATTCTCTTTATCAGAAAGTAGTGCCATAAATAATAAAACTTCTTCTATGCAAAATTTTATCAAAGCTAAAATAATAAGGGAGAATGACAGAAAAAGAAGCTGAAAATTATAAATTCCAAATAAAGTTGGTAACACAACGTTATTTGGTATTGACAAGTCTGAATTTGCAAATAATAATAAATTTTTGTTGACATTTCTTGTTTGGCATTTACAAAATTCTAGCTTCTTTTTTGTCATTGTTCCAAATAACAATCCCTAACTATTTATTTACTATTTTTGGTCAAATTAAACTATAACTAGATCTTATATTTTTCAGGTTCTTAATGTAAAATCTAGTTAAGTAATTTGAGTAGATTAAGGATGTTAGTTAAATTAGTTAATATGTAATGTTTTTTTCCTCCAAAAACACCACATGCATCCTCCTTAATTTTCTTATCCCTCTCCTACTTGATTATTATTGGGAGAATATAATAGGATTAATTTAGAAAAAATTAATAAACATGAAAATAGATATTACATGTAGGATCAATATCAATTCTCCAATTAGATTTTATATTAAAGACTGGGTATTAAAATAGGGTAGAGTTTTTCGCCTGGGGATGGCTTGAAATCCCATGCCCTTTTGATTCAGTTCTGAATTCTCCCAAAATGAAGATGCTGTAAACGGTCTTATAGTCGCCTTCTTTTGCCAGATTATAGTATGGATGCTTGTATGTGTATCCTTTTAAAAATATGACAAAGACGGGAATTTAATGCTATACATATATGGTCCTATCCAATTCTATTTAAATTACTCAGAGTCTAATAAAATTTATCAATACTAAAGAATTTGGACTAAAGAAATACATAAAAAGATGGGCGGTTCACTTTTGGAAGTTGATGATATCAATGTCATATCGGGAAAGAAAAATGCAGAATGGGAGGATAATAAGATCAAAGATATGAGATTTTGGAATCACTAATAAAGCCAAATTTATATTTATATATATGTTGTTTGTTTTTGTTTATTAATGTTATTATGACTAGGAACAGATAAGTATTGTTGATGATAGTGCCGCCTTCGCCCGACATGGATTGCACCTCATTCTGTGATTCAAATCCCAAACGTTTTGTTCTTATTTTATCATTTCAAATAAAATTTAATATGAGACGTGTTCCTCCCTTTTATTTTTTTTTTAACTTTTTCTGTACCAAAGAAAAAGACAGTGCATCTAAAATAATGCAAATTTATTTTTTTAAAAAAATCAAAATATGCAACTAAAAACAATGCAATTATAGATTTGATCCCTCAATTTAATCTCATTGAGATATCAACTACTCATTTTATCTTTAATATAAGATCTAATTAACTAATTTGATTAGATTAATGATACTAGTTAGATTAGTTAATATGATATATTTTTTAAAAAAAACTCTTAATCATCTTCCTTAATTTTCTCCTTCCCTTTTCTACTTGATTATTACTAAGGGAATATTAAGAGGGTCAGTTTAGAAAAATATTAATAAATATATGAAATAAATCTTACATATAGGACTGACATCAACTTTCAAATTAGATCATACATAGACCAAAGGAGTATTAAATTATAATCTAATGATATTGAAATAAAGCCCACTGTTTTTTTTCTTAAAAAAATTTTATTTGCAACTTTTGATATCTCTAAAATCCAAATTCATATAATTATCACGTTTTGAAATAGCCATGAATATATCCTTTTCTGCAAAGGGAAAACAACACACACACACACATCCTACTATACATCCTCATTCTCCATGTGCAGTAAAATACTTAAAAGTTATTAATTTGATCTAATATTTAATAATTATTTAATTTTATTCCTCTTTAATACGCACTTTTTTTAGGAAAAAAACAATGTAAAAAAAAACAAATTGATGGTAAAATTATTGGTATATATAATATATACTATATATAAATTTACTAATCTAAAATATTATAAATCGAACCAGATACATATATTGAAGAATATTACAAACTTTTTCATTAATTCACCCGAAAAATGATAAGGTTTAATCTCAACCGTATAAATCACAATTGGTTCGAGTGATTTTACACTTCTTTTTTCAATAAATCTCAATTAAGTTCAAGCTTCATGCTACGAGAAAATGGCCATTCAAATGTTTTATTTCTAAGTTGAATTATGTGACTTTCGGGGACCAAATCAAACCAGTTATATCATTAAGAAAAACGTTCAATCTTTAATACATATCGTCCTACATATTTCGTTTTTGTTGCTTTCTTTTCTTCGGGAGAGTCTGGTCCCGTTTCTTTGCGGGAGCATGCTGCAATGCCACACAAAAAAAAAAAGCACAAAAATATCTTTTTAGACTCATAAATATAATAATTCCGTGGTCTTCTTTTGCTGTGATATTAAATTATTAATTCACAATATAAAGTAGATGATAATATCAATAAAAAGCTTATAATAGCGCGTTCAATAAAAAAGCACATGCATGTTCAATTGTTCATACTGGGTCTCTCGTCTAGTCCATATGGAACAAAACTTTTTTCTTTTTTAACTTTAAATTTAATCATTTTATTCTGAGAATTTAGTTCTGTTTATATTGTCAAGAATCAAATACCTTTGAGGAACTTGCACGCCCACATATTTTTATGTTATTAAAGGAATATTAAAAACCAATTTAATTTTCAGAATCACCAAGCTAGGTGCAGATCATTTTCTCATGAGAGAATACAGTGTATTATATTCATTTTTTAATTTTAGAAAAAGAAATGCGATCATCTCAAATAAATTAATTCTACCAACTTACTTGATTCAAGTAGTTTAATTTTAAATAATTTTTATATAAGGTAAAAATATATGTATGAATTTTATCTACATAACGATAAAAGTTTTATCGAAATAAATCAATTGTTGTCATTAAACGCTGAGAATTGAGACTGCGCGTTATCCCATCGATATTGACGAGGTCAAAGGTTTTATTCTGGTAATTATAAATTTTGTGAGTTTGCAAAGTAAGTACGTGGCGGTTTAATTTTTTTATTTATTATTGTAACTTAATTATTAGAACATTTCGTTACGATTTTTAGTTTAATTTAATATTAATAAATATATATTATTAGCTAATATTTATTAATATTTATATAATTTAATATTCTTCTGTTTAAACCATTTCCCTCCTTACTTATATTCTTATTTATTCTATACCATAAAAATTATATATGCTGAGTTAGTTAAAATTACTGTTTCTACCAAAAATGTCTTTAACGAGTGTTTCAATCGAAGGGGGCACTAGGTCTGTGACGTCTCATTCTTGAAAGAATCAATCGGAGTGGAAAATGATGAGTCAATTTCTTAGCTTCTTTGCGAATTAATAAATCCAAAATACGGGTGGAGAATATAATAACACGTCAAATTAAAATATATTATTGTAAAGAGAAAGAAATTATAAATACTTTAATATGGAAAAAATTTTATTATGTGGCCTGACATCAACAATACAAGGCAATTATTGAAAATAGATCCCAAGCCAACGCAAACACTATGCCAAAACTCCCACCATTACAGTATCCTGCTAATTATTAAACTGAGAAAATATACCATCATCTATATATAGGTTTAGCCATCATCTCTAGAGGACCAGTTTCCCCAAGGCGAAGCAAAGCATGATCAAGAAGAAACCAGCAAGGGCAGGAGGAGGAGGAGCAGAATTGGACGGAGGAGGAGGAGCAGAACTGGGCCGAGGAGAAGGAATTTGTGGGGTCGACGACGACGGAGCACCCGCCGGGGTCGGGGAGGAGCCGGAGCCGACGGTGACGGCCAACTTCTGTCCCCCCTGGCAGTGTTGGCCGACGGTGCAAATGAAATAGTGGGTGCCGGTTTCTTTGAGGGTAACGTTGGCGGGGCCGGCGGTGATCGTGGCCCCTATCTGATTACCTGAAGTGCAAGCATCGAACGAAGCTTTCGGAACTCTGACCACGTCATGTACGTTTGTAGGGAAGTTGAACGCTACCACCACCAAAAACGAAAAAGAAAACAAACTAATTAATAATAAGATCGATAAGAATATATAAATGATGAAGATTAAGGGGGTGTTTGGGGACCAAACCATGGTTTGAGAAAAAATCACCCAAACACCTTTAAGTGTATGTGTGTGTGTGGAGATTTATATACATATATGTGTGTGTGTGTACGTACAAAGAACATCGTTGAGGTGAAAGGTCTTGGAAGAAGCCCAAGTGGCGTAGAAATTGGCATCGGAGGGGACAGTCCAACCGGTGGTGTCTCCGACGACGTGCACAGTCTGGGCAGCGGCGCAATTCAGAAGCAGAGAAGGCAGAAATATTAATGCAGAAGCAGCAGCAACGCAAAAATCACAGGTTTTGGCCATGCTTAATAATTAATTATATTAAGTGGGATTTAATTGAAGATATGAGGAGGAGGAGGAAGAAGAAGAAGAAAGAACGATGAATGACAATATGGGAAGTGGGAAATAATGGAAGAGAAGGGGTATGGGTATAAATAGAAAGCGAAGGCGTGTGTGGATTATTCAACACGCGGGACTGAGCAAAGCAAAGACAAGACCAAGTTGGCCAGTCAACTCAGCTTGCTGTGTTTAATCAATGCACTGCTGCAGCGGGGTCGTCCTTCCCATTCTCATACGCTCACACGACCAATCTGCCAAAGTAACTAATTCATCTCCTTTTGCCATTTCACGTCGCTACCCATAATATGAATAAATATCAAAGTACTAACGACCGGACACGTCAGGGTTAGATTGAAATGACTTATTAATACTACTTTCGATATTTATTATAAAAACTAGTTGACTAATTTAAGTAGATTAAAAAAACTAGTTAAATTAGTTATTTATAATAAATAAATATTGTCTTTCCTAAAATAACTTTTCTAATCAAATATATTGGTTAGAACTATCATTATTACAATGACCACCTTAAAAAAAATAGATAAATATGAAAGAAAAAATAGATTAGGATATTATATTTTGGATCAAAATAAAAGTGAAATAAGATTTTATATTAAGGACATGAGGTAGTAACTTTTTAATTATAATTTATAGAATGCAATATAAATATGGGATGAGAGTTTCATTTCAATTTACGTGACATATATTTATAAGTACTTAAATAAGCATATCCAAATGATGACGTGAGAGACAGTATCTCTAATTTATAGTATGTATGATATATACATATATATAGATATATATATAATTTATATGAATCCACACTATATTACTAGTATGTGAATAGTTTGACTCATATCAATTTTCTTGGAAAAAAACCCCATAATATATTTTCATATATATATATATATATATATATAGTTTAAGGAGTCATGCATGATTGATAGGTGGGGGCCATAATGACTAGTTTTCTCAATCACATTCAAAGTCTGGACGAAATTGTGTAAATGGGACCAACGAGAAAGTTCAACGTTCACTTGTGTCTGTAATTTGAAGTTTGAAAGCACAGCCTTTTTGGTTGCAAGGCGTTGGAATTGTGGAAAATCCCTCCCTCCAACTTTCTCTAAACTTTCCAAAGTCAAAATAGACTTCCCAACCCCAATTGCACGTTCCACCGCTCTATCCCCATGAACAATCCTCTAAAGTTCCTCCCCCCCCCCCCCAAAAAGCAAAAAAGTTGCTGAATTTTCTTTCTTTTTTAAAATAAAAGGTCGGTGAATTTTTATGGAATGGAAAAATAATTTGTGTACTAATTCATAAACTTTATTTTCCTGTTTTATTTATAAAATGAATTTATTATAAATTTAAGTTTCTATTTATATCTTGTGAAGTTTTGCGCGCGTACTATTACAAAGAAAGTTAGCATGGAGAAGAATCATAAATTAAAACAGACATGATTAAATATTACACCGCTCAGATGTAAGGAGGGAAAAGGGAACAACAAGATTGGATCATCAGATATGAACAAGACAAGAAAGAATGCCTAGTTAAGGGTACAATGCTGGGATGAGGGTTAATTGCAAAGAATAATTAAGGTTTGATTACTTATACGGGTAAGTGTCCCAAACATTCTGGGCATGCCACAATCTGATGAAATGCTTCATTCAATAAGCTTGTTGCCTTCAATCATCTCTGACCGATCATGATCATAACGTTAAAAGAAGAAAAGCAACACTAGTTGTGATAGCCAACATGTATGAACACCCAATTCCCTGCAGGCCAAAATAGATGTTAGAAACATATATGCCCATGAAAGATCTATCTTAAAAGCAGGAAACTTTTGACTGTCTCTATGCTAATTATCTCAGATAACACCTAACCATGAAGTTTCTATAGTGAAACATCCACCATATTGGTTTATTAAGCCTCCCCTGAAATTGAGTAAAATGGGTAGCAAGGGCAAACAGAGAGATGTGAATAGTGATTACATATTGCCTTGTGACATCTCGGTGCCTAAATAGTTCACGGCTGCTAAGAAATATGTGACAAAGTACTCATAATATATGAAGTTGAGGTAACAAACATTCATAACATTAAAAGAAGATGGCAGACAACATGGGATTTTCAAGAAAGCTCTGAGGTTATAATTGATGTTTTCGTGATGTGTATTCCATACCTTGAAGGAAAGACGAGAAGAGGTTGCTGAAGAAGCCTTAAGGCCAGTGAAGCCAATGTTATAGGCAATGCTTCCATCAGCCTTAAACAATCCGAAGTTTCTCTCTGAGGTTGGACCAGGCTTCAAGTTCTCATTAAACAAAGCAAACACATAAGCCCTTGCCTTGATCTTTGGCCTGTAAGGAGTTCCCTTCTTCTTCAGAAGCCGCTTCCTCAAATGATAATTATAAGTCCTGGCATTCTCCACCGTGGCTCCGGCTTCATTTGCATCCCCACGAGAAGCCCACCCAGTCTCAGACACAATAACCTCCATTTTCTCAAACCCGGCCTTCTCCAAAGCAGCATAGGCTGCATCAACCATAGCGTCAAACATGTTATCATAATGCAGTTTTGTCTTTGCATCATAAATCCCGGGGCTTTTCTTGAAAAGAGCATAGTTAATGTCAATATGTTCAGGGTCATTCTTATAGGCCAGAAAAGGGTATGCGTTTATGAAGAAAGGAGAGCCAATCTGTGAGAAGAACTGCAAGAGAGGTTTCATGAATGGGACAATGTCTTCTCTGAAAGTGCAGGATGATGGAGGGTATGAATTGGCAAAAACAGCCTCAGAATGTGGACTTGAAACCTGAATGTCATCAGCTAAATCAAGCCTATCAAGGGCACTGTAGACATTCTTTGCTGCAGGAAGAAGAACTTCCCATAGCTGCAAATCTGTGCCTCCAAGGATTTCATTTCCCACTGCAATTCCTCGGATTTTAGTTCCGGGAAGAAATGGCTGAACGTTCTCTTTGATCCAAGTCATGGCTTGATCTTCCCCTACACTGATTCCTGTCAACAACTCATTGGGAAGTCCAATCACAATCTCAATCCCAGACCCTTTGAAGGCCGTGAGGACACTATGGTCAGCATCATAAATTCTGATGTTCTTGATCTTCGCAGCTTTTAAAAGTGTCACCACACTGTGAGGTGAAGGCAGATTATCTGCTATCCTTCCATAGTTCACTCCATATGTTCCTGTAAAGAAGTTATCCGCCATAACTGCGTTCCAAACAAGTGAAAAAACTGGTTTAGAGGATCACATTACATTAATCAAATAAACAAAACTCATGGAAAACATGTAGTTTAGTGACATGAAGAATGTAATTAGAAGGAGAAGTGGATGATGATACCATAGTGGGAAGTAAATACAGAGAAGATAAGAAGAAGAAGCCAAAGGAGGAAAGAAGAGAAGACCATCTGGGAATTGAGCATTATTATTTAGAAATGAAGAGCATTCCAATGATGGAAAGAATGTGGGGAAGGGAGGCTGTATTATGTAATTCAGTAAAATGGGGGTAACGTCATTAGTGAAGGAGAATCCATAAACAATCCTTGTCATGATGCAATACTTTTCCTGCAGGAATGCCATAGAAGGCCTAAGATTCTTAGCCTTGCATCAAAGAAGAAAGCTAACAAAAAGAGGAAAGATTCTTAACCTGAAGACAAAGACGATGCAGTTTTGTGGGGATTGGAGAGAATAGATTCTTCCCTTTCCTGCTGACCCCTTTTGCCTCTGGATCTTAAAGTTCACTTTTTGTTGTTGTTTCTTTCATATGCTCTAAGTGTCGTTTTCATTTACTTGTGTCTCTAGAAACCTGTGAGAAAGCGACCCATCAAATACTTTTCGTGGCTTCATGGGTAACTGCCGAAACTGGCTTCTTAAACTTCTTATCAGAGGGTAAGAAATCTCAGATAGCAGGAAAATTGATATTTTGCCGACAGGAAAATTGATTTTTTTTTTTGGCCATCAAAATTGATATTGTTAGACTTGCGCAGCTTCATTATTTTACTTTGATTATTTAATTTGCCTACACAAATACAATTTCAAATGTATCGGGGTCTTGTAGCCAAGAATACAAAGCTGCTCCCTTGAGTTTTTTTAGGCATCCAAGTTGTAAGTTCAACTTTTTATGGATATAATAAGCACATGAGTTATAGCAAGAAAAAACAATTTCAAATATCAAACACACACACACACACATATTTTATTCTCACAAATAAAATTTTTTTCATTATTATAACTGAAGCATTAAAATCGGTTAAATTTCTTATTCTATGCAGATTTTCCCCCCAGGAGACTCTTTTGAATTATATCAAATTGTATTATTACTAAATTATTAGTCTATTTTAAAATTAGTTATTTCAATTATTTATTTTCTTGTTTATATATATATAAATTATTGATTGTTGATTATCTGGTATTACTACGTCAAATTCACAGAGTGTTAATTTTTTACATTATTTAAAAAAAAACTGAATCTTTTTAGGGAGAAGTAATTAAGTCTCAAAAAAGAAACATAATTAAAAAAAATCTTAATAATAACTTAAGTAGCCTGTAATGATAAGTTTTAGAGTAGAAAATAACGACTTCAATCTATCACTAGGATTTGTTAGTAATTACTTTTCTTTATTAGGATTTCATTGTAATTCTCCCATTTTTTTAAATTAAGCATGTACTCGATCATATACATACATATACACACCATGCATACATGCCTACCATTCATAAAGTTTAATATACACACCATACATACATACCATTCATAAAGTTTAATATACACACCATCCATACATACACATATACGTACCATACATACATGTATTTATAGATGTATTTGAGCCCCTAACATTGCAATATGGTATCGGGATCATAGTTATGCTGATTATTTGACCAAAAAAGGGTGAATTGGAAGTGGGGAAATGGCAATAAAAACAAAAAGGGCTGCTCTTTATTTCCTAGCACAATTTCAGACGCTAAAGATGTACAAGTTCAAAACTTTCTGGAACACTAGGAATTGAAAAACTGGGATTTCTTATTTTGGATCAAGACGAGAGGCTGCAGTTAAAGCACGTGTATGCTTTCCATCATCAGTTTTCTGGTTCCACTCTTTGGCTTCTTCGTCTTCTTCAGCATCCCACAGAAAGTTAGCATATGAAGCAAGCACATAACTGCACATCATTACAGGTCTCCACATTAGCTTCATCAACTTCCAACAACAAACCAGATCTTTATAAATATTGGTTATTGATTATATTAGTGAAATAAAGGGGGGAAAATATCACTTTGGTCCTTAAACTTGCCTTCAATTATCAATTCAATCATTGAATCTTAGACTCGTAACATTTCAGACCTGATAGTATTGACTCAGAACAAGTTCCGAAAACAACTCAATTCCTATAACTCCTAAGCTCAATAAATTATAAGGATTGAGTTGTTTAGAGTCAAAGTTTAAGGACTGAATTGATGATTGGGAAAAAGTAATGGGACTAGAAGTTATATAGAGGTTCATTTCTCACCAATCATGAGGGGCGATTTGAACAGCTTGATCATAATACTGTTCAGCTCGATCTGCATTCTTCTCCGTTTGCCATATCAATTCTGCATAAAAACACAGAAGAATGCCATCCCCTGGATTCGCTAACATCGCCCTTTCAAGATACTCCTTTGCTTTATCATAATCTGCAACCACCTATTCACACTTTAAAAATCAGAAAGATTCCAACAGGAAAAAAAAAAAAAGGGATCAATATGCTCCGATAACTACGTTAAATATGCGTTAGTTAAGATACCTCTTTCAAGAACTTTGCATAATTCCCAAGCAAAAGAGCATTATTCGGGTTAGTTGCAATCATCTTCTGATAATAAGAATCCGTATTATCTCCCCCATCATTAGAGGAAAACCATCCACTCCCATGTCCACTACATCCATTGCTTCCAACTCCATCACCCATCATTTCAACATCCTCTTCATGCTTCACCGAACTCTTATCCAAACCAGAGAAAGGAACAAGTTCAGAGCAAGTTTTCTCAAGTGAGTTTTCTACTTCATCACTTTCTTTGACCTCAAAGCCCTGTTGATTCTTTTGTGAAATACCATGTCGATGGGGTAAGCGATTTTTGCTGTTAAGCTTTGATGGGTCGAGAGAGTCTGCGTCAGAGGTAAAGGATTGAGTTGCATTTTTTGACGTGGTCAGTGAAACTGGTCTTGTTCGAGGAAGATGGAGAATGGGTCCTGATTCAGGAAAGGAACAGTATCCGAAATAATGATGGAGCCATGAGCTTGGAATCGGAGCTGAAGATGTTCTGAGTAGCATATTTTGCATTTCAGAAACACAAGAAGACGGTGACAAAGAACAAGAAAAAGAAGAGCACTTGCAGAATACAAGAGCCTGAGTACCCAATTCAGAGAAATATAAGTCGAGGAAAAGCAAAAGCAGGGATCATACGGACGAACAGAGAGATGTGTGCGTGTTGAGAGAGATAGTTTGAACAAAAACTAATAATAAGAGAAGCTCAATGAGGCGATTACTGGGATTAATTGTCAATAAAAACAAACAAAAAGTCTCACATAGAATGAAATTAAGAAAGTTGTAGATAAATCAAAAAGCTTACGAACGTGATATTTAAGGATTTGAAGTAAGGAAAAATGAACGGCCGAGAGCTGGTATGGTATGTGGACGAGTGACAGAAAGTGGCATCCTTTTCGCCTTGGCACTTTACGGCTCCCAAATGGGGCGAACCAATCGTGGGTTAACAATTTTCCTCCATTTTTTGTCACCATTATATCTATCTTTTCATCCATGTACGTTACGCTTTCTTCACTTTCCCTCACCTTCTGAGATGTCAACGTCGATGGTATAAATGAATAGACATAATCGCATAATTATAAATTTGTACCCCTACTCAGCAGCTGGGGGGGGGGGGAATCTTTGGCTGCGCTAACCTGCGAATAATGGAGACACAAGTCACATAAATAGTACTCATCCGATCTTAAATATAAGATCTATATTTGTAGTATAATTCTTATATTTAAAACCGGAAAGAGTATCATTTTACAAAGGCATGTTTAAATCTATTATCTCTAAGTGAATCTATCATCTATAAGTACGTTCATATGTACTAAAACAAAGTTTCTTTACTTGCTTATCTTATACTTTGTAAATTGTAATGAAAAAGTTGTTTATAAATCATTTCAAACAACAATCTCACCAAATTTTGAGATATGCATGGTATAAGGTTCACCCACCAGGATAACTTCTATCCCAAGTTTATGCTCATACATGAGTGCTTTACTAGCTTCTAGTTAACAGGACCATGTGGCCGAGGCACCTTGGCCTCATGGCATGCAGAGTCCTTAGTTACGTCACAGGTTCTATCCTGTACTGGGGTGCTTGGGCTTGAAGCCCTGTCCGTGAGGAAGGAAGAAGTGTGCGCGTGGTGACCCAAAAAAGGGACCATGTCATGACAGCTTAAGCTTTTCTTAAGCAGGCTAGAAGCAATCAAGATAGGTGATAAGACAGCCAAGACAAGACAAACAGACAATAGTAGTAAACACAGGACCCAGAACATATTGACCAATGAAAACACAACCCATAAGATAGATGGCATCCGAATTATTGTGAAAATCTGGCTGTTGAAAACCAAGTTAAGAAAAAATCCAAACAGCACCCAGGTAGATGATTCCACAGCATTTTCTGCAGTAGTGTATCAGATATATATTTTTTAATTGCAGATAGTGTGGCGCTCCCAGAAAATACTATCCCGTTTCCGCTGGCTTCTCTGTCTAGGTACAAAGGTCAGAGAAAACAACAAGAGATGTTGTCTTTATCAATTATCATATCGCACGCCTCATGAAGGTGGCAACAGTTAATTGAAAGATTGCAAGCCACTTGCTCCCATCGGTAGTCTACATGCACTAATGAGTATTGTGAAAATATCAGCACCGTAAAGCAGAAGTTATATTGTAAGACTATTAATTAACTATATACTTACATGATGTACCAGCCCACCCACTAGAAATCAAATTAGCAATAATCGCAATAATTAACAGTAAAAGAAAAAGATTGTTAAGGGGGTTAGCAGGGGATCTCAAGTGTAAACCTGGACTGTGTCATGTACTATGGAGACAAATACCTGGCCAGTTGTAGATTAATTTAATATTTTATCTTGCGTCTAACACAATGATACTTCCAAATTCCAATCATCAAAATGGAAACCAAAAGCTTTATTTATCTATCCATGGAAAAGACAAAGTTGGTCACTCTAGAAGGTGCATTTTATTTCCCAAAACTATTATACCAATGCTTATTGCTTACCATGGGCGATAGGGTCAGTGTCTAAAGTAATTCCATTGGAAAAACGATTTTAGTTCACAAAACAAATATGAGTTCCAAATAGTAATGGCTTAGGCTGTTTCTAATTTTCGGGGTCTTCTGATGTGCTCATTCTGTCTGCGTCCGATTTCGTTCATGGGGGCAAAAGGAATTAACCATTGATCCTCCTGGTCTCTCTATAGGAGTGATTCCAAATTCCAGCCCTGAATTTGGACTTTCAAATCCATTTGAAGGCTAGTTAAAGAGTTGCCTTGTCAACTAGCAAGAAACCGGATCAATCAAAGCATGCAAAAAATCTCAGGAGAGAAAAAATAATGGAGCCTCAGGATCAGGAACATTTCATTCCACCCATTTAAATGCTTTTTCCCTCCATCACTGTATATTCCAATTCTATCCCCTACGCTATAATTTGATATATATACAAGTGAAATGCTTCGCATGTTATCTTCTACGTCTTGATCCTTTGTTTGGTTTATTCCTCCCATTCCATGCAGACGCCCAAAAGAATAGAGACATCCAGAAAAGAACAGCAAAGAAGATCTGTACTCTATCTTTAATTTTGGACAAAGATGTAGAAAGACCTGGTTCCCAAAATCAACAGAAAAAAAAAAGGGTCGGTCAGTACTGCGAGCTGCACCTGGCCATAGAAGAAGAAACAAGCAAATCAAGCGTAAAATGAAGCTGGGCATAGGATACCTGATAAACCATATGTTGACAAAACATGCCATCGTTCTCACAAAAAATACACCATAGACACTAACATGCATCAAACATTGTAACGTGCAAGAGACATTCAGGCATGGATGATTCATTCACAATATTGCGCATCAAACAGATCATCATATGATGGAAGAAATATCAACATGATATCTTAATAACAAATACATTTTTGCAGTTGTCAAAACAGACGTAGCCTATAGAAGTGATGGGATGCAAAATTAAATCTATATAACTCGAGGAGAACCAAACAACAGCTCATTGCAAGTTGGGGAAGTGATTTTGTGTTAATTATTCTTGCACTTTACAGCAATAGAAACACGGTTCTTGCTTTCAATACTGTTGTATCAGCATATTTAATTTTACTATCTCTTTCTGATCCACAGTTTCGGTATGTTTGATTCAATTCTGTACATTACATGGATTTTGCTGATTCACGTGTTTGGTTGACATAGTAAAGTAATTCAATGCAATCTTGATAATAACATATTATAACAAATCAAGTAATCCCATTACATAACTTTGCCTGTGTAATCTGGATTTAAGCTTATATGAATCAACGTATGGACATCTATACCTTCTATGAATAAGTACTTAAACATTTATACCCTCCATTTTTGACCTTGATAGAGTTAAAAATATCATTTCACATTTATTTTTTTCCTTCTAGATAAAATATGAATTTCATTCCATGATTCCTTGATGGCATACCAAACAAATGCTTTGTAATCATCATTTCATTATTTGCTATCATTACATTCCCTATGATTCTTTAAACCAAAGGGCACTCATATTACTATATAGCCAACATTTAAATTTTCTTGAATTTTTAGCAGCATGCTCACTAGAAAGCCCCTGATATCTGAGGAATAGAAACCGGACTTTTGGTAACTAGCACAGTCAATTTATATCAAAGGAAGAACATACCATGTAATCCAATTTTAGACATGGTTATAACTTGATATAGTCAAATGGTAATTACGGACATAGTGTGTCAGTTTCAAATTCAAACAATTATTAAGTGTTCTTATATTCTCCGAACTGAATATTGACAAACAGGTTGCCTCCATTGTCTTGAACAAAGAATTACTGAAAAGCAGCAAACCCTTGAGAAGTTCAAGAGTCGTCCCAATTTCCCACAGGCTTAGAGAGGAAAGCTTCTCCACTTATCATTGCTTACCGGAAGCCAAAGGTCATCGGCATTATGCAATCTCCTGATCTCGATTTGCTACAACGAATCTGCGAATTCCTTTGATACTAATAGAATTTTCATCACATATTACAATCCTAGAATCAACAAAATGGGGGTTATTTTGAATTGGAGCACAGCCGTGCAGGAAAACAGCTGACTCTGACAGGAGCAAATTCAGCCATGACTTTGAGTTAGGCTTAGGCCTTTTATCCTATACCATAGAAAAATGAGAAGACCGTGCCAAATCACACCTCCAAAAGACATAACTAAAGTCTAAAAACTTGAAATACTGAGTCTCTGCTTAAAGAAGACAAATTTTCCCCCAAAAGTTAACATTAACTAATGGACCTAAAACATCGTCTAGCCTCTTTCAGTTCGAACCGAAAGCAAAATTCAGACAAAACATAATGCCAAAATTTCTAATATCGTACAACCATGGTCTTACACTTCATACCACATTAATTTGAGACCGAACTAGAAAACTTAAAAAAAAAAAAAATGCAATTCAATGCAACTGAACACCCAAAACTGATATCAAAATGAAGAAAAAAGGCGTGAAAAGTCCTCACCTTGAAGCTTCCTTGGATTGTTCCCGGGAGGTGGGTCGATTCGGGGAGGAGGAGGAGGGCGGGGGCTGGCGGCGCGACACCGACCATGACAACCCATGGTGCAATGAGAAGTAAGAGGTTGAAATAGAGGGCGAGGAGGGATTGGGAAGAAGGAAGGATTGGAGGAATTAGAGAAAGCGTAGAAAGAGAGGAAGCAGAGAGGGACACTGGTTGGGGTGGTAGAGACAAGGGGAGCCATTTGAAGAGCAAATGATTGAACCAAATCTGTTACAGTTTCTCCAGGTATTTGTGGGCTAACTGTCAACCCGAATGGGTCTATTGACCCATTATTTTCCTTTGTTCGGGTTGGGCTGATGGCACAATTCAGAATCACTCTAAAAATAAATAGATAAATTAAAGGTTAAGAAGCAATTTTGGGTCGAAAGTTTTTCTGTCCTGGACTTTTAACTGATGTAATGTTTTCTTCAAAGTAATGCAATGTTTTATTCAAAGGGGGGGGGGGTGGGGATAAGGGTGGAAACAGGCCAGGCCAGGCCTGTTTTGGAGCCTATTGGCCTGAGCCTGGCCTGTGGCCTGTTACAGGCTTATTTTTCAGCCTGAGCCTGGCCTGTGTAAAGGCCTGGCCTGGCCTGAAACCTGTTAAAAGGCCTGTATTTTTAAAAAATTCAAATTATAATTATTATTTTTTTAAAAAAGCTAAGATTAAAAAAAACGTACATAATAATTAAATTTTTAGTCTTGTCTTTTATTTAAATTTTAGTATCATAAGTACTATTTTAAATCTTAATTATAATTTATAAGAATGTTATTGAAAACTAATTGTAATTATATGTTAAAATTTAGAATAAGACTACGTTTAAGTACACACAAAAAATTAAAATTAAGACAAATAAATAAAGAGGAAAAAAACTAATTTTATAATGAATAAAGAGGATATCA